AAAGAAGGACAAAAAGCCTGAATCAAACAAAAATCTTGAAAATAAATTCCATTAATCTCTTTGGGGAATATAAGAGAAAATAGTAGTGATTTCGGCAGGAACTGGAAGAAACCATTAGCCATAAACTATCAAAAAAATTCAAAATTTTTCAGAATGAAGAGCTCTCTAACATAATACAAACATGTTAATGTCAGTTATTTGTAGTTTTTTTGTCCTATATCTAAGAAGTAGGGTTTTTTTTTTTTGTTATTTTTACCTGTAAGTTGGGAAATTCTAAGGCACATTATTCCTAACATTAAAATATATTTCTTCAGAATAATGTCCCTGCATACATTTCATTCTGTTTTGTTCACATGTCCTCAGAACCCAGATGCATGCTAGAAGTAAGATAGTAATATGTCAAATATAGTAGCAATTTTAGTCTGAAATGTTTAAAGTTAAAGTTTATTTGTATTCTTTGTAGGAATATCAATAAAAGACCTCAAACGTATCTATATCTGTACATGTACAAGAACCGTCAAAAATTATTCACAGAACAAAAATAAATCTTCTTTAGAACAAACCCAGGTAATGAAATGCAGATATGGATCTCACATATGGAACAATCTAAGTGCTACTTAGCACAAAAATATGGCTTTAAAAATAAAATCAAATCTCGGGTTTTGTTTTTCTAAGGTGTATTTCTCCTTCTTGAAATAAAAAATAAATTATTTAGAGTTATCATTGTAAAATATTTATGTGTATTAACACATTCTTATTAAGGCCCTGGAGATGAGAAACAAAATCAAATTTAAAAGGTAAATTAATCAGAGGTGTAATCTGGGTAAATGTACTGCTGTTTGAGTTGATTTCAAGATAACTAAGAAATGTCTAAGCACCAGTCAAAATTTAACCTTTACTATTTGTTTTAGTTTTGTTGCAAGATAGTGGTAATTGAGTTGATCAGTATTTGACCTTTTGGTGAATTGGGAATTGAAATTTTCCCTTGGGAGCTTGGAAATGACACAGATATGGTATTTATACATACATATTTGCACCCTCACACAGATGATGGAGGCCCCTAAAACAGCTTCTGTGGAAATCTCCACTGCACCAATATATAGATCTGGTTCTAAGTCCCCAAATTTAAAACTTCCTAGGGAAACAATAAGGGGCATTTGAATGAAAAATATCCATCAAGTAGGAAATTAAAATGCATGCTGCAATGTGGGCCAAAAGTACCACTTTCTTTCCTTGGATGGCTCACTGCATTTGCCAAGCCTAGCTGGGCTGGTTACAAACACGTGAGGATTAACTGACCCAGGAACCAAGGCTACTTCTTTCTGTGTCCTACAGTGATACTCAACTTTCTTTCTTTAACTCCCTTATGGTATCAGTAATGATATCTAGGGTTCTTGAGACAATGTCAAACCAAATCAAGTTCAAGTCATTTAACTTATATATACATATAACACATATAGTACATTTTAAAGAGAATAGAATGACTGTCATAAAATCTAATAAATGAAAACATAAAACCTAAAAACCCAAGAAAGTTTTGGAATCACTGATATATAAAATGCATTAACATTCATAAAAAGGAAGCCCTAGGAATTGTGTTTTCTGTGGGTGTGTACATTTTCTACAGTAACTGCCTTTCTATAATTGATGCATTTTAAGAGAGAGCAAGGGCTATAGATCCTCCTGTTTGAGTTGATTTCAAGATAACTAAGACTGGACCTCTGGGCTACTAAGGAGACTGCTATGCATTACTCCTGCTCTGGATCATGTGTCCTCCTTGGGTTCTTTCTCATCAGATATTTATCCTATTTCATACAAATTTCATCACTTTTGTCCTTTCAAAACTCAAGAGCATTCATAACTGGGTCACGACGAGAATGCTTCTAGAACTAATAATCATTTAAAGATGAAAAGAGACTACTTAAAAATTCAACACCTCAACATTTCTTGCTTTTAAGAAACTAGCATAAGTCCTTTCAATTGATATATTGATTAAAAAAAATGAAGTATCCCAGGAAAAGGGCAGGAAGGCAACTAACTACTGCTGGGGCAAGCAAGGGATTTTACTACTAGACTTGAGAAAGGGAAGGAGAACAGAGAAGAAAGCCCTTTTGGCTTTCTCAATCGGTAACAGAAGGTGGACTTGAAAACTGTAGCTGAAAATGCATGAACCACCAACCCACAATTTGGAGCCACTGGGTCTGATGCGGTGACAAGTCCAGTCTGGTTGTCAAGCTTGGAGTTCAGTCACAATGGACTAGACTAACAGGACTAAGGAAACCCTGAAGAGGTCTGCATCCTTCAGCTCAGTCCCATATAGTCTTCAGGAACTCCAAACTGGAGATGACTAGAGCTAAATCTGGATAGAAGCCTACCAAATACTAATGTAAACTCTCTTGATGCCAGTTGTCTTTCTCTGGGTCTTCCAAATGAGAACTCTATTCCCAGTTTGGTGTACCCCAAGGACACAGTGAAAGCCAGGGGTCTAAGGAAGAAACCAATATAATAATCCACAAAAAGGGAAGATCTGAAGTTTTCCCTGTAAATCAAGCTCAGGCTCAAGGACATAGAGTTAATACCTACAGCAGTCTTAGAAAAATCTTAGCTCTTCTTTACTGGCCAACCCCATCACAGAGAATGGTGGAAGCAGACCAGTCAGAAAGCTAATTCTGGCCAACTTGTTATCAAGAGAAAAGCAAAAGCTATAGCTGCTTGATGACCTCATTTTGCAGACAGCCCTAGACCCAAAAAGTACTTTGATGGTAGTGCCTGGAACACAGTAAGTACTTAAGTGCTTGTTATAGTTATAATCTCCTTCATGCCATGGCTTTTATTGCAGAGGCTCAAGGAAGAACAATGGCCTGATGGAAATTTAACTCTTTTTGCTGCTTTGGTCTGAAAAACTTATTGCTCCAGTGATACAAAAGGGAAATGTGAAGCTCTTTGCATGAGTTCTATTAACATTTTCTTTGCTATTGGCCAAGATGGGTTGTTATCTAGATAAGCACTTTACAAGCACTTTACCTGAATTCCAAATTCCATTCAACCCTGGTACATTCTTACCCTACCATGTGGTGATACATTGGGAGAGCCAGGCTGCCATCTTAATCCATCAGTTTCTCTTCAACCACACACCTCCTTCTAGCAAAACAAAGATATGTGCCTACATGGGCTGAAGCAAAGTCAATTAACAATACCCCAATAAAAATTATACCCTATTAATTGCCTTCTTCCATACCTAAAAAATAATCTTTCAGAATAAATTCTACAGATTGCAGCTTTACTAAAGAAATACTCAGAAAAATATCTGGATAGGAGTAAGCTCAAAGGATAATCTAAAATTTAACATCTAACATCAACTCTGAACTTTTTTTCTTTTAATTATCCATTATTATTATCACTATTATTTTTAAAGTTTCTTCTCTTCATTCAAGATAACCTGATGGTAGAGGGCTGCATAATCTGTCCAAATACTTTGGCCACTGAATTATCCAATGCAAATTGTCCTCTAAAGAGGTTCCAGAATGCTAAAAAGATATTTACTGAAAACATACTTGGTTTTTGTCTCCTTCCAACCCTTAATATAATTTGATAAGCCCATTGTAATCCATAACCAACCCTTGAAGAACTTCCACACCTTAGTACAAGACATTACCCTTGTTACATACTTAAGGCCACTGAAACGGAGTCCTTTTTACCAGGTTTTTCTGCAGCACAATTGAAGACTTTTTACAAAGAATGGATTAAACATTGCTAGAGCCGAGAATAAGCCACAATCAAGAACAGATCTATGTTTATATCCTCCCTCATCCAACAAAGGACACTACTTCAGAACTGGCAATATTTTTTCCTGTTGAGTGGTTTTGAGCACAGTGTACTCCCAGATTGGAGGAAAGAAAGAATTTACAGAAACTACTAAGGGTCAACAAAATACCCAAGTACCAAACAGCTGGCATGAAGTCTGCATTTCTTCTAAGCACAACAAAAAACTCCTGTTAAAGATTTCTGCCTGGAAGAAACAGGGGTTGTTATGAAGAAAACTATTTAAAAGGTGTGGGTTGGGGGGCTCTGGTGAGGTGGCTGAAATGCAAAGTTCAATACAAAGATCCACCTGAGAGAGATCAGAGTCCAAGAGTTGGAAGGCAAGCCTGGGATTCAGTGGAAAGGAAGGCTTGGTGTCTAAGTCTGGGCTTCAGTCAAGAGGGTACTATACCTGTTCTCTTGTTCCCTTATAAGAAACATTCACTCTATGCACATGTCTCCCTTGGTCTTTTTCTCTCTCTTCCCTTTTTCCTTTAAAAACTTTTTTTCTTAAAGTTTGTAATTTAAAATAACATTATTTGAAAAACATTGTTGCTTTCTCAATATAAAACAATAGCTTAGATCTTGCTTAAAGAGGATTCAAGACCCTTTTAACATTATAGCTGTACATCTGACAGTGTAGAAGGCATGAACATTTCCTATTGTGCAATTGTATGTACACATGTGTAAATATATATGTGTATGTATATATGTATATATAATGTCTGCTTAACATGTAACATTCCATTTCTGGCAATCTAAGTTGCATTCCAGATGACATTTCATACCTCTGGAAAAAAGGAAATCCTTTTCTATGACTTTTAATCTGTCCTACAATAAAGCCATGGAGGACAAATGTTGAGGCTGGGTCATTATCGCCAAATCTACAAGAGCATGGAAATAACAATTGGAATATGCCATTCTAACACTTTTGATTTTCTTTTCTTTCCCTCCCTTCCACCTCCTTCTTCTCCTTCTTCTTTTAAACAAGACTAATCACTCATAAGAGAGATTCTTCATATTTTGATTTCCTTTCCAAATTTTACTGAGGAAGAAGCAATTTAAAAGTTGAAGATGGAGATTAAATTCCTTGCCCATAGATTTGCTAGTATAATGGATAAAATCTTTATCCCAAACAAAATTACAGCTTACAAAAAGAAAAAAAATATTTTTAACAGGAAATAGAGATTTCTGCTATGTTGTAGTTAGCCCTTTTCTGTGTGGAAGAAAGGGTGTTTATTTTGAATGGCTTAAGCACAGCATATTTGAATGACCTCTCCAGGGGAGAGTAATCCTGTTGATGACTGATGACTGCTCCCACCATGGGGAGGAAAGGGCAGTGGACATGTGAAAATGGAGATGGCATACAGAGACACAAATATTTAGTTTTACAAACTGTAAAGAGGAAAAAGAACACCCTTTATTACAACAGGAGTAAAAATTAAAAAGCCCCATTATCTAAAACAGAAAATTTCCATCTGCTATAGACAGAGGAAATAAACATTGACAGGAGTTCAACAGAAATCACTCCTAAAGTCCGGCTGTGATGCAACTACTTTTATCTGTATCCTCAGAAACAGCAAATCCCCAAATCTGATTAACTGCCTGACAGAACCAGTCTTGGTTGATTAGTGGCATAAATTACTGTTTTGTATGGATCTTGGTATTTGCATGTTTTCCTAAAAGATGAGGGACTAGAGTGGGGTTTTTAAACTGGCAGATGAATCCCTGAAAAAACTCATTCTGACAATGTTCTATTGCACTCTATGTGCTTCTATCAGATAGACACTTGGTCTCTACCTACTGAACCCATAGGCTCATATTTCACACATACATGTTCCTACTTTTCCTCCTCTAACAACTGCAGTGCTTTCAACAAGAGGAAAACAATAATAAAAATAGTAATAATTAAAAAGGTAATCTACATTATTAACTTCCTTTTTGTATATTACAGTGGTATTTTCTGTACATGGCCCAGAACTAAGTTCCCTATGTACATAGAGACATGGAGGGAAAGCATTGACCTTGGAAGTCTTTGCATTATGCCCTGAAAGACAAGGTTCCTTTCTTCATTTAAGAGTTTCTCCCCATATTTCCATTTTGACGTAGCAACATTCTGTAAACCTGTAGGGGCTGGGTAAAGTGCTGGGGACAGGAGAGCTGGTAAATTTCCTTCTGTCTCCTTCCACAGTCTGTATTTACAGAGCCCATCAGCAGCTGCTGTTTTTGAATTCACCATTCTCCGTGATGGAAAGCTTGGTGGGGTTGGTGGGGGAGATGCCATTGCGGACCTGCATGCTGTACCGCTCCTTCACTTGGGTCAGCGCACTCATCAGTCTGGTGTTGGCTGAATCCAGGGACACGATCCGTTTTTCCTATAACACAATAACCATGGCTTTATTCAGGCTACATGGAGGACATAATGGCCTTTCTTTACTGGATGACTAGTCCAATGCTTTCTCTCATACAGCAGTACGCATGGTGCTTCCCAAATAAATGGAACGTCTCTGCCTCTTTCTGCACACTGGTTAGGTTCAGCTGCCTCTCTTTTCTCTTTATTTTTCTCCCTCTTTTCTCCTTTCAGAATATCAAGACTTAATAATCGCTGGAACACTAGGCTGTCCATTGCATAGGACACCAAGTGTTTCTTCATATTATACAACTGAGGTGTCAAGTTGCCTTATTGTATTTTAAGCACTTTTGGTCAAAATTAGAACATGGAAATTAGGTGGCAAAGAAAGAAGCACAAGAGGTTTCATTTCACAGAAGAGAAGTGCATGTGATCTATGTATGGGTTCTGACACCCCCCCCAAAGGGCATAACAGTCACACTTGAAAGAATTCACATTGTGCTCAAAATTAAAACAATACATGGTGGCAGTTTAAAGTCACCAACAAGGTGAGGATGCAAGAGCAAGAGGAGATAAGAGCAGCCAAAAGCTCAGACCAAGGGGTTATTTGAATATAGGGAGGGAGATGTGGCCAAAAGGGGGATGCTATAAACATAACACATGAGAACACACAGAGAACACGGGCTCCTAGACCCATTCCAGCTCAGAATCATTCCAGGAAAGCTGTCCAATACGCAGAATATTTTCATTTTACTTTGGAGTCTCTGAAAAAATAATGCTTTAGAATCAATATTTTGGAACCAAGCATTGTTGAATACACACACAATAAAACCAAGGGGGTGATGGGGAGAAAGGGTAAAAAAATTTAAATAAAAGAGAAAAAAAAAAAAAGAAAAGTAATTTAAAGAAAAAAGAAAAAAAAAGTAATTTAAAGAAAAGTAGGGCAAGCTAAATTTTCTTTTTTAAAAAACCATTTTATCTCATCACAAAGACCAGGGGGAGACACTCATCTTAGCTTCAGCAGCTAGGCACAACATCCCAGAAACTGCCCAACATGAATCCATCATTTTCAGAAAATAAGCTTACACAGAGAAGGACAATCTTTACCTATGCTCATGAAATTAAAAAGAAAAGAGCCCAAGAGGAACAATCCTAAAGCCAAAAGGAGATTTCCTATCCTGGTTTTTTTTTTTTTAATATTTAATTTAAAAAAATGTACCCAGGAAAAATCATGGTAAATTGGAGTCATAGTAAGGTTCAGAGAGAAGGCAGGAGGGTTGAGAGTTGCTGTTGTTCCTTGCTATAAAAGCAGTAGCTACAAGCGCCACCAATGTAGCTTGGCTTTGCCAGGATACAGGCTGCCAGGAACAAACAGAATGAACACCACTGTCTTTGGGGGTAAATTTTGGGTAAAACCCCCCAAAAATGGCATCAAGCAATGTTTTCCTTTCATCTCCTACTTTGCTGGGAGAGGGGGAATCTGTACGGCAGCAGTGCTCTTAGCTACAGTTTCAAAAGTATAAAACAAACAAACAAACAAACAAAAAAACCACAAAAAAACAACCCAACCCAAAACTTCCTACTTATGATTAGCCTTTAAAAAAGGCTGGGGATGTGGCTCAAGTGGTAGCGCGCTTGCCTGGCATGCGTGCGGCTCGGGTTCGATTCTCAGCACTACATACAAACAAAGATGTTGTATCTGCCGAAAAACTAAAAAATAAATATTAAAAAAACTCTCTCTCTCCTCTCTCTAAAAAAAAAAAAAAAAATTCCTTTCCCGGATAGAGAAGTGGAATGGTAAGATATATAAAATCAGTATTATTTCTGGGTATAGCAGTGCATGCCTATAATCCCTGTGACCCAGGAGGCTAAAGCAGGAGAATCCCAAGTTCAAGGTCAGCCTCAGCAATTTGGTAAAGGCATGTCTCAAACTTAAAAAAACAAAATGCCTAGGAAGTAGCCTTGTGATAAAGCACCTCTGCTTTCAATCCTCAGTACCAAAACTAAAAAAAAAAAAAAAGGGAAAAAATTAGCATTATTAACTAACTACTAATCAATTATAAGATACTTCTTTATTTTGGGAGGAATAATTCACTGTAAGGACAGAAAAAAACTCAACAAACAAAAGATAATAAGGCTTTTAAAAAAATTTGAAAAATTATACCTAGTAGAATTTACTGGAAAAACAAGTTCAGATCTTTTAAAAGCAAATAGGTAAGGCCTGGCCAGTGGTTACCAGAAAACAATAGGTAGTGACAAATGCTCCCTGCCCCCTACCCCCCAACCCTGTATGGTAAGGAATGATCTCTGTAGTAGATTATTAAGGCCTCAAAACTAAGGAAAGCAGGATATTCCAGGGTTCATTAAAAAAAAAAATCAAGCATTCACAAAATCTGTTTCATTCTTAACTGTTTCATTCTTTCATCTCTTAAAGAGTCAAAAAGAAGGTTAAGAATGATTTCAATTCTTATTACATACAAAAGTAATAACGTAGCCAATGCCTCCATACCCCCACTATGCAGCTGAAAGCTTTCAAGTGGAGAAATTTCATTTAAAAGATTCCCCCACTGCCAACCTCAAAATAAAACAAAAAGTAAAAAGAGAAAAAAAAATCAAATAGGAACTTTTGAAAGTCAAGCTCATTTGGCAAAAACTGCTCTGACATTGTGACTGCCTGAACTGGAAGGCAAAGCAATCTAATTATGCCTGACAGGAAGGATTTCAATGTGGGGAGTGGCAGGAGCTGGAATGTGTAGGAGGCCAGTGCACTGGGTCAAGGCTGGGAACTGCTCAGCTAGAGAACGGACAGGGTTTACTTGCCTGTTTGAATAATCTCATTTCCATTTATGACCTGTAATTTAACACAGTGGAGATATCACTTGCAACAGTAACCAGGCAGCTGCTTTGCTTCTCATGGGAGGAAGCCCTTCTGTTCTCCATCTGAGTTACATGGAGAGAACCTGAGAGTCACAGCATCCCTTCATGCTTGGGAATGAAGGGTGGCACATTCCCTGTCTGATATTTAAGAAGTGTTTCCTTAGTACCATCATTAGGATCTCCATACCTGAGCTACAAGGTACAGGACTGGTGATTCTACCACTTAACCACGGAGTGCTCATCTTTCTGTAGTTCTAGTTAGAAAGTGGCTGACACAGGCCTGTGCCTTGCAGCATGAACTGATTCAAGGAGAGGGAGAGGCTGAATTCAGTATGGACAAGTCTTTCCTGCAGGAGCACAGGGCTGCTAAGAGAGATGAGGAGTGAGAAGTACTAGAAGTTTCACTCTACCATAGAGGAAGCAACTTGATTCATTTTAGAAATATTTTTTACTATCAGTGGCACCAAGGGATACTTCAGGGATAGAAAAGTATGCTACCTAACTGGGAAGCTTTTCACCGCCAAACAGCTTCATTCTAATAGATGATGCCAGAAGGGCTGCTCTGCTTCATCAAACACTTAAGAAGTAAGGTTTAGTCTTACAAGAAAGAATTGGAAACACAAAATCATTCATTACAAAGGATGCCAAAGTATGTTCAAGTCTTTTGTTACAAGAGTTTAACATATCAGTAAACCAACAGCTGGGATTGAAACACTTTCCTTTTAAGAACACTACATATTTTAATTGTCTTTAGTGGTTATGAATTGTCTATGCATGGTGTAGTGGTTTTCAAAATGTGGTCAAGTGAATTCTCCAAGTATTCTTTGGGGATCCACAGTGAGTCTCTGCTAAAATAATTAATTGCATAGTAAAATCTGAAGTTAAATCTATCATATTTAATCAACCCCAGTATGTTTTGACCCATTAGTTGAAAGTGGTCTGTTGTTGAATGGCTACTGGGAGCAGCCGGATATTGATTATAGAAGGGATACTGGTTCCATCAAAATAGTCTAAAGAACAAAACTATTTGACAACCATTGTCAAGAGGCCATCCTATAAGCCTAACATTGATTCTTTGAGGACAGCATTTCTCCCATCCTTGCACAGTGACATCCTCTGGTTAACTGAGAAGATGTCCTTTCTTTCCAGAGTTTTTGACCATTACCTCCTCTGTGACTATGATTTCTGCTACATACCCAGCTGTCTGCCCCTTGATGTCAAAAATAGGGGGCTGGTTGTGTAGAAACCGATAGAGGCTAATGATGGAGCTGTTCTGTCAGCCAACATGCACAGAATCACAAACATGGCACAGCTAGGCTCCCTAGGCTCAAGACTGATTGCATTAGACTAGCTGAAATTATAAAAAATTCTATTTGATCTCACCAGTACTAAAATCTCTCCTGGTGTAGTTATTAAATCTCTCCCTGCTTTATATTGTTGTATTGAAATTCCAAAGGTGAAAAATTATCAGGATTAGTTTTCCTAATTAAACCGCCTTCTTTATCCAAGCTGTTTTGCTAAAAATCTCTGGGAAGAATTTTGATAGTATGTACAGCAAAGTAGCCTTGTCCCCACTACATCTCCCTTACCCACTATGGGGTACCGAGAAAGATTTTAAATAAGGGACCAAGTAAAATAACCGCAGATCTTTCTTCTGGTTCTTAGTAGGTTAAAATATCCAGAATCTTCAGATTCAAGAGTCCAAAATATTTTGGGAGCCCCACGAATGAGATAGCATCACAGTGCACAAATTCCAAAGGTGAAAAATTATCAGGATTAGTTTTCCTAATTAAACTGCCTTCTTCACTCTTAAGATTAGTGTCTTCAAAGAGAAGGAGGCCCACAAAGCATTCTTTCATGACTATAATTTCAGCCCCACTCCTGAAAAAAACAAACCCATCCCATATTGATCCTGTAAGAAAACTAGACTGTTAGGTGCATGCTTAAGAATATTGGAGGCTCTAATATACACTGACTACTGGCTGATATGGAGAGAAGACAGTAGAACATTTATGCATGAAGTCTTTGTACTCATTTCATAGCTTAAGAGTGAGAAATGCAAACATGGCTGGTTGTCTTCAGAGAGATGGTCCATTCACTGGCTGGGGGACATTATCAAAACTGCATCTGCCTTTTGTTATTTGATTCATGCCAAGAAATACAACAACCACAGTTTGTACTGATAAAAGGAAAAGGAGTTAGAAACATTGCCTGCCTAATTTTGCTCTCATCACTGATGTATTTCTATGAGGTGACCAGGTGGTGTCACAGGTGTAAGCTACTGTGAACAGAGACCTAGATTTGGATTTCATCAACCTTTTCTTATAAAATTTTATCTAAAGAGACTCTCTAAGTACAGCACCAACAAAGAAGGGCAGCCAAGCACATTCCAAGCATCAATGCCAAACCCTGAACCAAAAGAATAACAAGGAAAGGTGCGTTCTTCAACCTTGTTTTCCTTCACAATTCCATTACTGTCTGGGGCCAGAAGTTCATGGGGCCAGAGGCAGTGGACATGACTGACAAAATCGTGAGCAGCACAGCCAAGCAATGGTCAGTGGAAGTCACAAGCCAGACACATGCAGTGCACTTTTCACAGTTGACCCCTCAGAGAATGCCCTCCTTTCCACAAGGAAAGAAGCAAAGCCCATCATGCACTCGGTTGAGATCTGTCAAACAACTGTACTAAACACACTAATACTCTGCTGTGTTAATAGACTTGTCATCAGTGAAAGAAAGGAAAAATAATGGAGGCCATGTAGAAATTGATTTAATCTTCAAAAGATAATGCCAAGAACTTCTCAATGCCTTATTTTTAGGATACCTGCTTTGCCATTTGCAAGGATGGGAAGTCAGAAAATAACAGTTATTACCAATGAGTACCTTCTACTAGATCCAGAGTCTGCTTACCTGTGCATCAATAATTTTCTGCTTTGCATCAATAACTGCCTGCATCTCAGCGTGGTCCTTCTTCAATTCCTCTTCCACAGCCATTAGCCTAGAATGTGGCAACAAGGGGGTATCAACACTTTCAAAGACAGGGCTAGGTAATGTGAGAACAAGAAACTTAAAACTCACCATAGTTCAAGATTTCTCTTCTTCCTTAATAAAGACCTACAATCTTCTCTTCTTTCCCCTCTGTCACCTTGGAAGTAGACATCCAAGGTTGATTTCTCTAACTGTAACTGTATTCCATCCATTTTTATCTACTTTGGAGCAGAAGTCCTGTAATCATTCTCTCCTCTATCAGATTCTTCCCTCAGCACAATTTACTTTATCTTAAAATATCAAACCAAATCAATAAAGAACAAATTATCCTTTCTTAACCTCAACTTGCATGATATTCACTGTCCTATTTTTCTCTTCCCTTACACAGATCAGTTTCTTCAAAGAGTACTCTACACTTAGTAGGTCTAGTTTGTTTCTCATCCACCACTCACATTTCAACCCAGGAAGACTGTCAATTACCCCCATACTATTAAAACAACAGTCCTTTTCTGTCCTTCATTCACTTGACCTGTCCACAGCATTTGACAATATTGAAGCCTGGAGTCCAACTGTCTGCTATCAAATTCTGGTGTACCACTAACTATGTGACCTTGGGCAAAAGACTTAGTGAGTCTGTTGCCAGTTTCTTTATCTGTAAAATGAGAATGGTAATTCTCATTATCAAGTGTAGATTTGTAGGAAAGTGCCTGGCCTATGGTGAATGCTCTGTAGACGTGCAAGTGGAACTGACCTCTTCCCCTTTCCCCTGGCTTGGCACTGGCGGCACTCTCTTGTGGTCCTCTGGCCCTTACAGACATCTAGCGAAACTTCTTTCTGTTTCTGGACTTGCTCTGGAAAACTAAGTTTTAGACACTGGATACTTAAGATTTTTAAAACTCAGTTCTCTTCTAAAGTTTCTCAAATGAGCCACTAAGTTTTCCTTTTATATAATTGTTATGGTTAAAGAAAAAGCCTACCTGATCTTCGTAGAAGTGCACACTAGGTCTCATATTTAGGATGCCTGAAGAGATAGTCATCATATCTGTACTGAGTACCACAGGTGAAATGGCTTTTGTTGCCATGCCTTTAAATGTGTTTGGATCATTCTCCCACCTTGCTGTACCTCTAACTAGCCCACATCTGCCACCAGGTGGTCCTCTAACCTGCTGATGATGCTTTTCATCTGGCTGTCTTTCTCTTCCTGTTGCCTGCGCAGCCGCTCCTCACTGTCCTCCAGCCTGGCCTTGTATTCCAGCAGCAACTTCTGCATCTGCTGCTCTTGCACCAGCAACCGGCGTTCATATTCCTCCAGTCGCCGGCTAGACACTCTTAGGCGCTCCTTCAGTTTGCTAATTTCTTGTTCATACTAGAGTAAAGGAGAAGAAGCACCCACAACAACAAGGAGAAGTTAGTGATTTGCTTTTTAATGAAAGAAACCCTAGGCAATGTGGCTAGATGCTTCTAAATTGCCATTCCTTATACTACTGCTATTGATGTTTAAAATATCAATTGGTATAGGGGTTGGGGATGTGGCTCAAGTGGTAGTGCGCTCGCCTGCCATGCGTGAGGCACTGGGTTTGATCCTCCAGCACCACATAAAAATAAAATAAAAATATTGTGTCCACTTAAAAAAAAACCTAAAAAAGTAAATATTAAAAAAATATATATCTGGGCTGGGGATGTGGCTCAAGAGGTAGCGCACTTGCCTGGCATGTGCGGGGCGCTGGGTTCGATCCTCAGCACCACATAAAAAAAATAAAATAAAGATGTTATGTCCACCAAAAACTAAAAAATAAATATTAAAAAATTCTCTCTCTCTCTCTCTTAAAAAAAAAAATATATATATATATATATCACCTGGCATAAATGTTTATAAAGCTTTGCCTTCCTTCTGGACATATTTTAAATCTGAATTTAGCATTCAAAATTTTACAGATTTATGTACCTCTCTCCACATTAAACTACCAATTGCTGCAAGCCTTTGATCACTGATAGTATCAAATGGGAGAAAAGAAAAGAACAAACACTTAGAAGCCTAGTAACAGCTGGCCATCTTATAAGAGAGAGTTATTTGTATATCATCACTTGTACTACAGGATCTCTGACATATTTTGTCTTATCAGAATGCCCTTCCTTCGTGCTACTAGAATCAGCCCTTAGAGAACAAGCAACATTTCTATAATGTTAAGCCACTAAGTTAATAAATAGAATTTAATGGCAGAGTAGGCTATTACTGCTTTCTTCCTAGCTATGAAAGTATAAAATAGTCATAAGCATTAAGCAAAGGCCTACCTGTTCTCTAGGGTTGATTAAAATAGACTCTTGGCTATTTTCATGATGTGGCTCATCTGCTCAATTTGGCACCACTTGCTGGAATGTACATCTGTGTTCTCACTAAGCAGCCTATAGAAATTCAGTAATTCAGTTGGTTACATGATCCTTTTTTATACTAAATTTGCCATGGATGGTGCCTGAGTATAATGGAATGTCAAATTTTCTAGGTAAGGTGAGAAGTATATGCCTTTTTAATATTCATTAGTAATTAGTGATAAACCTGCATGGTGTATTGTAAAATGCAATTTACATAGTATTATCTAATTTATTTGATGACCAGCTGTTGCTCACCCAACATTATGGTTCCAGAAAGTCAAAGGTAAGGTTTGAAGAGTTACACTGTTTTAATAAGCACAGTTTATACTAATAAGTAAGAAGTAGTGAACTGTCTGGTTGTCAATTAAATGTGATAATGCTATACATGATGTCAAGGTTATTGTTTGATAATCCTTTTTAAAATTTCTTTCTTTAAAAAAAAAGCCCTCAAAACATCAGATGATGTCTTTTTAAAAATTATCTGTACAGCTAGACATTCTTTACCAAAAAAGGCAAAAACCAAACAGTTAAAAAACCCCAAATTCCAAGTCAAATTGTTATCAAGAAATAGAAAATCTAGTTCTATGGCAATTTTGTCCTTGGTTGAAGACTAACAACTGGTTTATAGAAATGCTAAAATGATTAGATGAATATCAGAGTGTCCTCCAGATCAAACAATCTATATAAAAATATTATATCTAAGCCCCTCCCCTGCAGCATGGTAGACATTTCTCACACATGTTCAGAGAGGCTACACTGACCTATCGTGCACTGGTGTGTATCGGGTTAACCTAAGAGGAAGAGTAAAGATGGGGGCAGTAGGAGATCATAATTGTTGGCTTTCCTTTCTAGCGGCCTAGACTTGTGGAGGCAACAAGTCAATAAAGATAGACTGCTCTACCTTCTCAGCATGCTTAGCTTCATCTTGATTTTGCTCAGTTTCTTCAACATCTTCTTCATATTGTCCATTGTTCAGAACCCATGCTGCTGTCCTCTCTACTGGAGACATGGTGGCAGAGTCCACAGGTGACTGAACCTGCATCAGAAACAGGTATTAGCATTTCCCAAAACAGCTCACCCAATCAAGTTACACAAAGACAGCTATTCTTAGAAGACGTAACTGTAATCCCTCAGTTTCAAATGCTGTTAGTTTAAAACAAAATATTTCTTCTTTCTAGATATACGTGACAATACAATGTATTTTGGTATATTACACATACACAGAGTATAGCTTATTCTAATTAGGATCCTGTTCTTGTGGTTGTACATGATGTGGAGTAACCATAGTCATGTATTCAAATACAAGGCTAGGAAAGTTATGTCCAATTAATTCTACCGTCCTTCCTATTCCCCGCCCCACCCTTCCCTTCCTTCCCCTTTGTCTAATCCAATGGACTTCTATTCTTCCCTTCCCACCTTCCCTTGTTGTGGGTTAGCATCCACATATAGGAGAGAACATTTGGCCTTTGTGACTGGCTTATTTCACTTAGCATGATAGTCTCCAGTTCCATCCATTCACCAGCAAATACCAAAATTTCATTCTTCTTATGGCTGAGTAATATTCCCCGTGTATATATACCACATTTTCTTTATCCATTCATCTATTGAAGGACACCTAAGTTGATTCCATAGCTTGGCTATTGTGAATTGAGCTACTATAAACATTGATGTGGCTGCATCACTATAGTAAGCTGACTTTAAGTCCTTTCAGCAAAGTAGCAGGGTATAAAATCAACATCAATAAATCAATTGCATTACTCTATGTCAAGGACATATCAGCTGAAAGAGAAATCGGGGAAACTATCCCCTTCACAATAGCCTCAAAAAACAAAACAAAAACAAAAAACCCAACAACAACTTTGGGATCAATCTAAAAAAAGAGGTGAAAGAAAACTACAGAACACTAAAGAAAGAAATTGAAGAAGACCTCAGAAAACGGAAAGATTTCCCATGCTGTTAGCTTTAAGTTTTTTTTGGTTTTGTTTTTAAGATTTTATTGATGCTAGGGTAATTAGGGGTAAGGAATGGAATATCCATTTGTATAAGAACAAACTATTCTGAATAGGAATTTGTACACATTGCATCTATGAACCATTCTTTTTCTCCTTCCAAAGAAAGCCAATGCCTCAAAACTATTAATTTTTCCAATGGTCCAAATGCTATAAGGTACCAAATTAACTATTAAAATTAAGATAATGGAATGAGAAAAAAGAAAGCATAACTTAATCATTGATTCTTCAAGTGAGAAAATATCTGTTGAACCTAGAGATGACCACAGACCAAAGAACTGTTCAATGTTAAACAAACACACAAAGTGACCATTCATACATCAGAATGCCAGATAGTTTTCATATTAACCATTGAGAGAAAGAGAACAAGTGATACTGGTTATTTTTACAGAATTCTGATTCCTGGTGGGTTAAGACTACTCAGGAGTCCACGTTTTAGAATCTAAAGTTTCTTTCTTTCTTTTTTTTTTTTTTGAGAGAGAGAGAGAGAGAATTTTTTAATATTTATTTTTTAGTTTTCGGTGGACATAAACATCTTTATTTTATTTTTATGTGGTGCTGAGGATGGAACCCAGTGCCCTGAGCATGCCAGGCGAGCACACTATGGCTTGAGCCACATCTTCAGCCCCTCTAAAGTTTCTTGATGAATTTAGAATCCAAATGATGAGTACTGGATAGTGTAAGACATATTTGTATTCAGTTAGGATTGCAAGATAAATTTTTCTTTTCCAATATAAATATGAAAGTGTTAAGATTATGGCCTTGAGGAGCAACTATGGAACTTAGTAGTTAAGTCATTTATCTCTTAAATACCATTTTCCTAATTTATTGAAAAATAATAACACCATCATAATTACCACACCTATGCTGACCATCTCAAAGTCTCATTATTCATGAGACTGAATAAGATAATGTGAAAGTTCTTTGGCAACTTCAGAGTGCAATGAAGAGGTTATATGCCAGTTATTACTATATTTATGTTTTGAAAACTAGGATTCAACATTCAAATTTGTATTAGGCTACTGAATACTACTAGTGCTTTCTCCACCAAGGATATTGGGAATATACAATATTTTTTTCCCCTTCTGGCTTGCCAGAGAGAAAAAGAAAGTGAGCATGAAAGAGAGTGAAAGAGAGAGTGTATTCTTTGTATGTCAGTTAGCTTTTTATAGTTAAAATGTATTTGTATTTTGAGGACCATTCATCCATAATTTCACAATTGAAGGGAATTTTCTCTCAGGCAGAGCCATATACCTTAAGAATCTTTATATCATTTTGGATTAGAATCCAATTAAACTCTACATGAGTATTTTAAAAGAAGGGGTATTCTGCTAACCTTGAGAGTTAGAGAAGATGAAAAACTGCCTGAAGAGACTAAAAAGTTACAGAGATTGGTTGGGTTGGGAGAGACTTTAAAGCTATACATACAAAAGTAATGAGAGTGGCTTCTTAATGGTTTGAAGAAGAATCTGGTTTAGTTGATTCACAGGTCATAGATATATAGCAATAAGAATAGCTTCATGGTTGGGTGTGGTGGTGCATGCCTATAATCCCAGCAGCTAGGGAGGCTGAGATAAGAGGATAGCAAGTTCAAAGCCAGCCTCAGCAACTTAGGCCCTACGCAACTTAGCAAGATCCAGTATCAAAAAACAAAAAGGGCTGGGGATGTGGCTCAGTGGTTGAGGGCCCCTGGGTTCAATCACTGGTACAAAAAAAAAAAAAAAAAAAAAAATGAAGAGAGCTTCTTCATGCCTAGGATGGATGTGTGTAGTTTACCTAAGTAGGTATATACATATACATACACAAGCAATTGAGAGTGAACTTGTAGAAAGTCCCTCTCTAAAATATGTAAATATGTCTTAAACTTCAAGACATATTGGTACTTAAAATTCTCTCTCTTCACTTCGGTTATCTCTATCTTCACTTCACTCATTACATTTCACTTTATTTTTGTCATACCTACCGTATCACTAATACATTATTTATCTTTTTCATTTTAATTAAATTTTAACTAAAGGCAGGATTTACTGGAGGCCCAGCCATCACCTGGAAGTCAGGGGGACATGGCAGGAACAGGGAATTCCTGTGCCCTACAGGCAAAGCCACTGTATAAGGGTGCACAGAACCAGCAAAACCAGTCAAAGCTGGGGCCAAGGAACTTTGGTGTTAATCTTTAACAGTACCTCACTATCTTCCTTGATCTTTCCTTTCTACTCACAGATGGACGAGATTGATTCAAGCTGCCTGGTATTTTACTATAGACCTGGTGATGTCCTCGATGACCACTGGGGTAACTGACAAAGGCTGCAGGAATGGGGGTGGGGGTGGGTTCCAGAAGCTCTGGACAGCAGGGCTTGGTAGGCATGAGGACATAGGCAGCAGCACTGGCATCCAAAGAAATGACAGGAATAGCACAGCACCACTGTAGAGCAGAAAGGCAGGAACCCCCACTTGCAGTCCATGCTGAGAGAGGAGGATAATCAAAGGCCACATGTTACATGAAGAAAGGACGCCAAACCCAGGAAGAGCAGCTTCTTCTTACCTGGGTGGAAGTCATGTGATCATCTCTTTTAAAAGAGTCATTTTTTAGTTAGCTAAGCCCTTGTGCCAAGCAATATCAATAAAATGAGTTTGATGTTCTCTACATATTTTATATATTTATATATAAATTTATATATTCATGATTATGTATTTTTCTAATATATATCAAAACAATTACATGAGTGATTAAATAAATATCTTGTGTGCACTTAAATGCAAACATCACATTTTGGGAACACTGGCCTATAGAACAAAGTATCATCAATAAAAAGATTGTAACTACTGATATCAAGTTATTAGAAGAAAAATGGATGGCATGTGAGAACATTTTGTAAACTGCACCGTACTTTATATATCCACACACACACTACAGTTCTCCCCCTGCTGGATTTTAAAAGCAGAGTACAATAAATTGTTTCTGTGTTGGTAAAGGGGAAATCCTGACAAGAAGTTTAAGTTCTTATTTGATATATGTGTATCTGGAAGGCAAAGTAATATAGCACTGAGTTTCAAAAAATTAATAGAAAATCAACATTTAAAGGAGAAAAATACCTTTGTAGTTGTAGGATCTTATCACTTTAGCACATAGGGCACAGAAAAGCTGCTTTACTGTGAAATTAGGATTTTCTATTCAATAGCAATTTGAGATAATGTAGCTATTAAAACTAATACCAACTTAACTATTAGGAATTTATTACTTCAAGGCAACTAATTCGATAGCTTTCTATTTCATATGGTTAATAAGATATTGCCTGAATTAACTTTTTTTTTCTCTGTGATTTGTTATGGGTAACTTTATTGAATGTAAGTGCCTTGGAAACTAATGGCATTTTAAAGAATACACAAAGGAAATAGGACCTTAGCCCTTAAAAGCATATTAAGAACAAGAACTACAACAAAAATAACATGAGTAATCTAGGCTTTAACTGTTAAGTGAAAAGATGTAAGTGATTCATTCCACTGGTGATGGTGGTAGTTACTATGCCTTTTGAATAACTAATATGGGCTGGGGTTGTGGCTCAGTGGTAGGGCGCTTGCCTAGCACATGTGAGGCACTGGGTTCTATCCTCAGCACCATAAATAAATAAATAAAATAAAGGTTTAGTGTCCATTTACAACTAAAAATAAAAAATGAAAAAAAAAAAAACTAATACAAGGTTTGATAAATTATGAGAGACTGCACAATGGGAAATGGACATTTTGGATGCTATTTTATCTACTGCTATTTTATTAGTTGAATCTTTTTTGGGGGGTGGGGGGTTGGAATCTTATTTTCAGCCACTTTCTGATATATCTTAGCACTTTGTATAGCATTCAGTAGGTGGTGGTCAAAAAAACAAAATATCAGACCTTATGATTGTATGTAGATATATGACTATGATCGTATGTAGATATATGACTACATGACTGGTATGATTCTACATCATGTACAACCAGAAGAATGAGAAAATTAGACTCCACTCATATATGATGTTTCAAAGTGCATTCTACTGTCAAGTATAACTAATTAGATCAAATAAAATAAAAAATAAAATTTACAAAATAAGTTAGATTATCTTCACTCTTCTTCCAATTCATGACAAATCTTTACAAAATTATTAAGAGATTAGAAGTAATATTAAATAAATCAACTGTATTTTTTCCCACTCCACTGCATTGGATAGAAAGAAAATACAGTGATTTTTATTTCAAAATTATTATTATATGTGAAAAAAAGCAATACACTAATTTTTGGAGTTTTTCTTTTGGTCTTAAATGTGCTGATCTTACTTCTCAATTATATTATCAACTAAGGATGACACATCATCTAGTTTTTATTTTGTTTTGTTCCTGTTTTTGAGATACTGGGGATTGAACCAAGTAGCACTCTACCACTGAGCTACATACCCATTCCATTTTATTTTGAGATAGGATCTCATCAAGTTGCCTAGGCTGGCCTCAAACTTGTGATCCTCCTGCTTTAGCCTCCTGAGTAGCTAGGGTTACAGCAGTGAGCCATTGTACCTTGCTCATTGTTCTTTTGCATGGCAGTAACTAATTAAGTGACCTCAATAAAATATATCTCAATATATTTTAATACTCTGGGTTCTCTTTAGAATTTACTACTAAAGCAGAGTTTATTATTAGGAGAAGGACACTATTTTTCTTCTAGTCTCAAAGGCTTTCCCTATATGATGGTTTGATCTATCTCCTTTATGAGCTGGATATATAGCACAAATTATTATCTGCATTTACAGTTAAAGAACTTGCAGAAATTGAGGTTTAGCACCCATCCTGCTTAGCTACATCCTTATGAAGAGAATTTATATCCATAGACTTTTAAAAGGAAAATTAAAGAAAATAAAGCATGAAAAGGAAGCAAGGGAACAGGATTTCCAATATAAATCTCTCCCTTTTGAGATGAAGCTGCATAGGGTTTTCCTGGGAAAAATAATAATGTTTTAGGGCAAAAGGGCCTGCCAGAGCCAGTTTCATTGTTACTACATTTAGTCATAACGTGGCTGTGCTGGGAACAACTGAGAACAGGCCAGTTGCCTATTCCTTGCTAGGATGTATTAGATGTAAATAAGACTTGTTGGTTTCAACTTCTTCTTAGTCTGAAATACATTCTCATAAATAATGCTTCTGCTATCAACACCAAAGAAAGGGCTATCTAAATTAATAAGTAAACATCAAGAGTGCTTGAGAGTTTGGTTAGAAGAGGGTTTAACAAGTCCAAATATGAACATTGCCACATTATACTAATAAGCTTGCCAAACACCTATTTTAAAAGGCCTTTTCAAATTCGAATATCTATCATTAGGGATAAATCTAACCAACCCAGACATTATAAATAAACAAACAAGGTCTATTTTTTTTATACAGAGTACATGATACATGAGAAATAAAAGAGAAGAAAATGAGAAAACAGAAATCCAATCAGAGGTTCAAGGGAACAAAATATTAAAAGAGTTTCCTGAAAAAAAGTTCTTTCTCTATAAGTTGTTTGACTAGGATTTTATTTCTTTCCTACTCCTTATCTGGAGAAGACTGAAGCCAGTCACACTGCCAACAATGGCCTCTCTTTTGTGCTAAGATACAAATGGAATTTGCAGGGGACAAAGGCCTACAGAACAATCCCCACAAAGAAATCCTCTAGTTTTGGGAAGAGAAAAATTCCCCAACATAATTTGCAATTAAAATCTATAAAGGAATTCGTCTTAAAAAATGTGCTGATGGGGCTGGGGATGTGGCTCAAGCGGTAGCGCGCTCGCTTGGGATGTATGTGGCCCAGGTTCGATCCTCAGCACCACATACAAAGATCTTTGTATGTTGTATCAACATACAAAGATGTTGTGTCTGCCGATAACTAAAAAATAAATATAAAAGAAATAAAAAAATAAAATAAAGTTTGGGTTTAAAAAAAATGTGCTGATTATATAGAACTTTAGAAGATTCATGGGAGTGAGATGAGAAACACAAGCAAGAAATGGCAAGATAAGCAATGCAATGAGTAAGGATATAAGTTCAAAAGAATGAACCATCTGGGTAGAAAAAGTCTTAGAAAAAACCCAGAAACCTGAACAACCAAAATCCAGTGATTTATTCTTCAACTGATGTGACAGTGGAAGTTACCAGCACGAAGATGAATATCTAAAGCTGTTCTAGGTGATCTCATTGTGGCTGTAATCCACTTCATGTCAACACATCACAGATATTCCCTAACTCCTTAATGATTGTGGCACAGAAATTAATTTTTAAATTGTTTTTTGGAGATAGTACGCAATTCCATCTCTCATGCATCCAGACAGCCTTATATTTACTCACAGGAACATTTATTCTATGCTTATGTGAATGGTACGTTTTCCTATAGTAAAAATATTGTATGGAACAATTGGTTCTAGCCAAACACACAAAAGGCTACTGAATTATATTATTCATAAACAATCAGCCTGAGTCATGGGCCCTGGGAATTGAGGACTACATGATTCAGGAAGAATGAATGGGTGGGCAGAATTTTAATCTTTCTTTTCTTTCTAGGGCTGGACCTAAGTCAACTTAAAAAACAAAACAAAACAAAACAAAAACAAAAACCACGACAGATCTTTCCATGTCCTTTCCCTGTCTGCCAATCTTATGTCCTATCTCATCCTTAGTGTCCTCTTGAACTCTAAACCTCCAAGTAGATGTTTGCTTTCACATGGTATTCCGTTTCTAAAATTACTTATCTTTCTGTTCTTCCCCTAATACATACTCACATTGTTAAAAGTAGTTGATATCAACTAGAAGCTAGCACAAAAGGTAAAAAAACCTAATTCACAAAAAAGTGTAAATGATTGATAGCCTTCTAACATAAAATTACGTTTATGTGAATACATGTGTGTATAAATACACATACATTTATATACAAAGGTATGTACATTATATATATATAAAGGATATATAGGAATATATGTATTTTTCCTTTTGTTTAGACGAAAATGTCTATTAAATCAAATGAATTGGTGAAAATTTGGAAAATATAACAAAATAAAAATGAAAAATTTAAGACTGAAGAAAAACTTTATTATTCAAGAAAGAATGATCGAGTAGGAGGTTCTGCCCAGAAAGTGTGCTCCTCAGCATTAGCCTAAGTTGGTCATGCTTTTTTCACCCCCCTCCTCTGCTTCTGATGTTCTATTTATTTCTTCTTTAAATAATTAGTGATGTAAGGGCAAGAGGCTCTGATCACAGCAGAGTGAAGGTAGAAACTGCCCAATTAGTATGTGCCTACCCATAAAAATGCAAATATATGGGAGAGATACTTTGGGATTTTATTTAAGTCTCCTTGCCCAGTTATTTTGTTGCATAAAAATTTTTGTCATATAATTCTTTTAATCACATACTCTTCAGTACTTATAAAATATAATTAGGTTTCAAATAATCCAATGATTTTATCTAAAAATATTTTTTAGATAAAAAATAGTTACACACACCTTTAAGCTTATTAATTCATTTCAAAGGGTAAAATATATACTGGTGCCTCAAAATGTAAGGAACAAATGATGAAATTCTTAGCAAACAAATAAGAAAAAAACTTGAAAACTCATATTAAGATTGGTGTGACACTAACTGGGCTTAACAGTAACACAAGGGAGCTGCAAATGTTTAGAATACCTGTCAACTGCTTGTGTTTCTCTTTTTACCCTTTTTTACTTTGTCTCTACAGGGGTTTAGTTGTTTATTTTTCTAGCCACTTCCAGGAAAAGGCAAATGGGACTTGGTATTTCTATAGGGAATTGGGGGGTGAAGTGAGGAGTAGTTACTTAAAATTCTCAGCTCAAAAGGTAAAATTTAATTCTCAAAGCTTAAGGAAAAAAAATTAAGAAGGAATAATTTCCAGATTTTTACAACATATATTATGGTTGATTTCACCTGTAGATTTCCTAGTTTAAATGTGTACTTATTCATTTAACATTGTAGATCTGTTCTAAGTGCAAAATGAGGTAGCTGCTCTGCTGCTTGTAGAAAAGGAAAAGCCTCCTGAGTGTTTGTTAGAGAGTCTCCTAAGGGTAATGAGTCAAACCACATTTTGCTGTCTCACCTAACCAGAAACCTCCCAAACTTGTCATTTCCTCCTTCCATTTAAAGGTTGCAGAATATATTCTTAAGGAGAGATCTTGTTAATAATGGGATTTGCTGATAATCCCCCTCCCCTATTGATTTACATATAAAGTCCAAGATTTGCACCAAGTAGAAGCCAAACCACTTCAGTATGTGTCCCTACCTGCTGTGTCTGTTGTCTCTGAATTGCCCTCACTTTGGGAACAGGGCTCTCTCTGGAGGAAGAAGACTGCTGCCGGGACCGGCTCCCATTCTGCACAGGTTCAGCCACCAGGGCTGCAGATGCCACTGACATGCTGCCGGTACTACGTAAGGATGCACTGTGTGGCAGGGATGGGGGTGCTTTGGCTCGGGCACCTAACCCGGCCTGGTCCATTTTTCGGATTTGGGCCTGCCCAGTACTGTTTTGACGTGGCAGAGCAAGAGGTATGTGTCTGTCTGGCATTGTGTGCCGCCGGGAGAAATCTTCACTCTGAGTGCTACGTTTGGTAAAATCTTCCATGCTGCTATTGCTGGGTCCACTGAGTTTGAAGTCTTCACTGTTACTTTGGCTTCTAGAACTGGCAGTGCTTAGGTTCTCCAAACTGGAATCTACAGAGGCCTTTGGCATTGCTGGAATTGGGTTATTGAGGTGATAGACAGGGTTCTGGAATGACAAGGGCTGGAGACTTCCTGGTTGGTTCAAGGCTGGGTGCAGGGGCCTTCTTACTTGGGGGGCACTCTGGGGAGTGCTCTGAGTTTCCCGCAGTTGTTTGATGCTGGCCACCTGGGTTATGGAAAGCTGACTTCCTGTCAGGCGCATAGGCACATCAAGCATGATAGATGCATGCTCCACCTGAGCAGCATGAGTGTCCTGGAGGTCCATGAGGGAGATGCTCCGACCATTAGGAAGGCTGCTTTCCTTTTCATCCTTTTCAGAATAAGTCATACTCTGGGAGGAGGCCTGCTGAACAAGAAGTAATGTTTTGCCTCTGAAATAGCTGTCTGTATTTTCCTGGCTTGGAGATTTTAGTTTATGCAAGTCACTGTGGATAAGGAAAGGATCCTGGGTTACTCTTGAGAGCAAATTCAACATAGTTAAGATTCTTTAATTTTGGAAACTTTTCTGAAGTTTTAGAAGCTCAATATGGATACCTAAACTTTCTTTAGAAATTCAGGTTTCATCATTACAATTCTTAGAATAAAATCTAGCATTTTTACTTTTTCTTTAAAGGTAGAGAATAATACCCCATCACAATCTTTAGTTTTTACTAGAATTCCAATAATAATCCACTTGGATTTAAATCCTCCAATTTATACTTAGTTCCATTTAAACCTTCAAGAGAAGCAGCTGTGAGTAGACAACTAAAGGGTCCCTGCTAAAGGAACAAACCTTGCCAATTCGGAATAGAAGTCTAAGCAACAATGTTGTATGTACCTGTCTAGTTGACACAATCAGCTATAAAATGGCTTTAACTGATGGTCTTTCAGAGTTTTGAGTGCTATACCACACAAAAACATCAATTTCATAAAATCCCTAATCTTCCATAAAGCACGATATAGATTTTGAATGCATTTACTGAACATAACTCTATACTATCATTCCAAAAAATGTTATCCTATCTTGTGCTTTATAACAATTGGATTTATCTCAAATGATTTTCTTTAATTGCTTATAAACTTATTGCAAATTCAACAAATGAGTCAAAAGAGATTTCTGCTAAATTTAAACATTATCTTTTTCTGGGAGTAGTACAAACCCTCTTTTGCATACCTGTCAGTGGGGTCTTCAAATATTTTCTGCAGCCCAGAGGAGAGGCTTCCACTAACGTTTGGACTAGAGTTATGCTCAGCGAAGCGTCTCAGTTGCTGTTGTATTGGCGTAGGATTAGTCAGGGACTTGGTAATATCAGCAAGAACACGAGGAAGAGGACCCAGTTTTGCCACGGTTGCCTGTAGGAAGGAATTTTCACCCTGATTGGATAATAAGCATTGTGACATCCACCACAGATTGTTTTTGGGACAACGATGCCCATTGATTGGAGGGGTGTAGGTTGAGGGAAGGGTAGGTATTTGCGTATGGGAGTGGCAGGTTCATAATGCATTGTTATGGAGCAGCAAAATCATGGCGTCGAGATGAATGGAGGAGGCGAAACAAGGTGCAGCAGACATTGAGGAAAGAAAGGAAATAGAAATTAGGATTATGCAAATAAAAAGTCATGCTCAAAATAATCAAACTATTGCCATTCCGACTAAAGTAAGCATGCAAAGCAAACTGAATCTTTGGGTAGCTAACAGACCAAGGTGGGGAAGGGGAGGGGAGGAACCAAACACCTTCTAACCAAAAGGAACTTTGAGACCAGAGGACTGGCTAGTGTGATGAAACTTCCAAAGAAAAAGGATCATGTGAGAAAAGAAACTCATGCTGACATACAAGATGCTGCATACAGGGATCCAGAGCACTGCAGGACATGCAGTTAGTTGATACTGCCATCCTCTATCCTAGTCAATCTTGGGAACCCTGACCCATTCCCAGCTGTTTCCATTAATAATGTAATTTCCTTTTTATTTAAACAATGAATAGGGCAAATTCTGTCTATGAGATATTTACTTTTTAAACAGAGACTAAAAAGGAGAAAGTATGTTTATGTATCAAAGCCTGTTAAAAAGCCTTTGATCTTGAATAAGTCAGGACTATTCACAAGATAACCATATATGCAATGAAGTTATTCAATAAAGAAAAATTTTTCAGTATTTGCTTATCTATCTCAATCTTTTTTTTTTTCTTTAGGGAATTTTTCTCATGGGGTCTTATGGGGCCATCTCAACTGTTAGTTTTACATGGCTGCCTTTGGGTGTTCTTTATCTTCTCAACATTCAATAGACTTTTCTGAATGAATTTAATGAATGCCTCTGAAGAATCTCTTTACTTGCTGAATAAATCATGATGAACCATGATTCATAATAAAGAAATTTACCCTGAACAGAGCTGCAACTTAAAATATAGCTTGCATTTCTAAAAATGAAGAATAGGTTCTTGAGAGTATGGAATGGTTTATTGTCTTCTAAACGTTTTAAGCACCAGTGGACACACTCCCATTTATATTTCCTCGGGAAAATGATCTTTGTTAGTAGGTTTTATTCCTCTCTAATTGTTATTAATATAACATTTCTATAATTAATAGGAAAATGGAGGAAAACAATTCATTACAGAAAAATAACTTTGTTTTTTACAATTACTCTAACATACTACTAAACTGTTTTCTACTATAAGCCTGTTCTTTTTTTGTCAAATTCCAGAAGAAAGAAAATGATTGGCATGCTTTACATTTACTTACTAATAGAATATTAACACATAATAACATTCTTTCTGTCAGAAAATAATAATAGATTTATATATTCTTAATTCATATCTGTAGAAAAAATAGGATTTTCATACCCCATAAGACTCAGCACTAATAACTATAAACTTAAACTTGTAGAATAAAAAAATTTTTCATAGGTAAAGCTATAAACATGATAAACAGCATTTTCTATGTCTGTCCTTTTGTTAGAAATTACTAGAATGAAATTTCATATCATCTTATACATGATAAGGATGTATGTACCAATATTTTCTATTAATTTCTAGGCAAGTTTCAGATATGTATTATATATGAATTTATAGAAATATATTTCATTAACTCAGTTAATTATTTTAAAAATGTTAATGATTTCATTATTTTCTAGAATTTCACGGCTGCAGATCACAATATTTGCTCAGCAATGATAACCATTTGCTTTCTGATATCTAGGGCAAAAGGTTGCTTTCAATTAGCAGAAAGGGTAGTGCTCTCATTCCAGAATTCAGATGCACCGAACAGATGCACTATCTCCCAGTTCCCATCACTCATCCAGCCTACTTTACCTTATCAAGTTGGGAAACTACTTCCCACAGTAAGGAATGCAAAACTGAAAGCTCTCGGCCCAGATCAATGTAACCATCAAAGCCTGGGGTGTTTGAGATGGTGTCTGGATTAGAAATCTCCAAGAGAAAGCGCTTCATTCCACCCCATTCATGTTCTAAAAAATCATTCATGAATGCCATGTATTCCTCTTTGTTACCAAACCTGACGCAGAGAGTGAGAAAATGAGAAAGAAAAGAGAGATGATCATTTTAAGTTGACTTTATACAGAGTTATAAAAATTTAAAAAATTGTAGAGATAACAACTCATTTTGTTTTTCTGTAAATGAGAGTACTAAAATATATTTTTCTTTTTTTTTTTTTTTGAGTGGTACTGGGGATGATAGAACACAGGTCCTCCAACATGCTAGGAAAGTGAACTATCACTAAGTTACATCCCCTGCAGCCCTAAAAAAAATCTAGTTTCTTAATATTTAATATATACCAAAAAACTGAATAGCTTTCTATTCTCACTATAGGGTTAAGCCTAGACTCATTTCCCCCTGTTCTGGTATTTAAAGCTCTCTATGATATAGCCCTTATTTATCGACTAAATGTTCACCAGTGTAAATTTTAATATTGATTGTTTCTTCAGAGTTTCCTAAATACATTATACAGTATTTCACTTCTTCCCCCTTATCCATGGTATTTAGTACAAGACCTTCAATGAATGCCTGAAACTGTGAGTAGTGCAGAACCCTATATATACTATGCTTTCCCCCACACATACATAACTATGATAAACTTTCACCTTTTCACTTAAACACAGCCTCTATAGCTTCTCTTTAGCATCTCTGAATTTCTAACATCAAAACTCTTGTTCTGTTAAGTAAAATAAGGTTACTTGAACACAAGCACTATAATACTTCGACAATCTGACAGCCAAGATGGTTACTAACAACAAGTTGGTAGCAAATACAACATGAATACACGGAACAAAGGTATGATTCATGCCCTGTGTGAGACAGAGCTGGACAGCATGACATCTCCTTATGCTACTCAAAATGGCATTTAATTTTAAACTTATTATTTCTGAAATCTTTAATTTAATATTTTTGAATCATGGGTGACCATGGGTAAAACTAAAACCTTGGAAAGCAAAATCTTGGATAAGGGGAAACTACTTATTCTTTTTCTTCTTTAAGCCTTTGGTTGTGTTCATTATTTCTACTAAATAGGTTCTAGCTATCTTTGGAGACTATTTAAGTCTATAAAAAAACTTGTTCAAAAATAATCTAGAAATAATTTTTTTATCAGAATTAGCTCAAATATGGGTAAGTATGTTATATTTCTGCTTTGGCTTATATATACAGGGTACACAAAATTAAAATAGTGGACTTATAAAAAAATCACAATTTATACTAAAAAAATCCTCTTTCATTAAAGTTTTAATTATTTTCTTCAACATACTACTAATAGAAACTTGTTTTTAAGCCTTAATATTAAATACATCTATGATCAATTTTGCAAGTGTGAATTCTTTTCCAGTTATTTTTAAAACTTATTTTCAATAAATTATAAAACAATACAAACTTACTGAAGAAAAAGTTAAAAACAATGAAAAATGTTTCATTTTTCTTTCTTCAGAAAGATAAATTATGGGTACATCCATTTACCTACTAAAACATATCTGCTATTTACATTTAAGTACAATTATAGTCTCCTAACTTTTTAAATTTTTTTTTTAAAAAAGGTTAAAATACACAATGAACACTATATATCTTTCATCTACATTAACCAAATGTTAAAATTTTGTCAAATTTGCTTTCACTCTTCTCTATATATATATTATGCTATTTTTTTGAACTGTTTTAAACTAAGTTATAGACATTATCACCTCTGAATACTTAGCATCATTTTATTCAGAAAAAAGGAGTATCTCTACATAAGCCAATGCCATCTTCATGCTAAAACTTTAAAAACATGATTTATGAATCATCTACAGTCCATATTTAAATTCTACCAATTGTCCCCCAAATAATGTTTACAGATTTTTTTTCAATTTAAAATCCAAGTTTTGGTCTGGGACTGTGGCTCAGCAGTAGCACACTTGCCTTGCATGTGTGAGGTACTGGGTTTGATTCTCAATACCATGTAAAAATAAATAAAAATTCATCTTACTGTTCTTCCTTAGATTCTTGTGTTTTCATATTGCTAGAATTATAACATATGTATCATGTTATATCATCCTTTTTTTTAGTACTTTTCACTTAATTTTATCTTCAACATTTTCCATATTTTTGTTCTTTGAAAACAATGTTTTAAGTGGCTATGAATATTTCACTGAATGTGTATACTATGGTTATTTAATATTTACTTCCAATTTTTTGCTGTTTTTCAATTTTTATTGATAACAAAAAAATCTGGTAATAGGGAGTAATGAGGCTCATCAGTCTGATCCAAATTTTAGGACTCATGTTATTTTTTTTTAAAACCATGTGTTTTTAGAGTGGTTATGGTAGGTAGCATCACCTACTTGGCAAAGTTGGCCAGGTTCTGAATGACCTTGGCAATAAGAGTTAGAGTCCGAGATGTACGGTCATCAGGATACTCTTGCATAAGGTTGAAGAGACTGGGAGACATAATGGCTGGGCAAAGAAAACGGAGAAACAATGAGGCACTAATGAGCCGCTCACTGATGTCTTGCTTGGCGCGGTTCAGGCACTGCTGTTTCCATGATGCAAACACTTCTTTCAATTCACGAGGGAAAACACTGGGGAAGGAAAAAAAAAAAATCAAAAACCTCTAAATACGAAAATACCATAACCCACGAAAGCACAAATGATCCCACTCTGACTCAGCCCACCTCTGTATTACAGTCAGGCTATAGGAAGACCTAGGAGAGACGCAAAGATGAGGATCTGCCCAATTCATGGCAGAGAGGTGGTGAGGAAATCACAGAAAACCAGATGGAGACTGGAAACTGGAAACTACAAAACTCTGAATTAATGTATATTTAGTTTTGCAAAAAGGGTAAATGTCATGAGACTCCTGACGAAACCATCTAGTTTAGTACAGCTTACTGTGATTTCTCTAAAGATTGTTCATCAAAAATCTTCCACAATCTCACCAATTTCTGGGGGTACAGCAATGACTAAAATTCATGAACACAGCTATTCAAGATTAGAAAAGCTAGAAAGCTAGAAAAATACTTTGGGTTTTAGAGGATGTAGAATTAAAATTATGGGAAAGATTATATAGATAGTTCAAAAGTACTTCGCTTATGAACTGTTAGAAGAAAGGAAATAAACATTTTTATTTATATACATTTATCAAATTATCCCCAAACCAGCAAGACAAACATCAGTGCCCACATTCCTCAATCTCAAAATTGGCCATTCTGAATACTTATTTTTTCTATAATTGAAATTTTTATTACTATAAAATTTTAATATTTTCTGCATTTGAATTTAGTCTTTATCCATTTTGTGGAAAGTGGCTGTTTTTAATAACTCATGCTATTTATATTTTACAGATTTAGGCAAACATAAATCTCCACTTCTAAACTTTATAATTGAGATCTGAGTCTCTTTCAACAAAAACAACAAAAAGGTAAACTGTGCATTGTATTTTGGTTTTCTTTAACAGTTCTTTATTAAAGAAGAGTGGAGCTTTCAAGGATCCTTCTATTACTTGAGGTTCAGGCTAGTTATAACAATTCTTAAAGGTGTGCAATAATTCTTACAAAATCAATAGGAAACAATTTTTATATCAAAATTGTTAGTATTAAGGTAAATGAAAGCTTTTAAAAACTGTGAGGTCTGCTGAAGCATACCATCCTGGATGGGTATTTAAACTCCCAGTGAAGCACAGTGTACTAGGTGGTCAGCATCCTTCTAGTTATTTGTTTTCTTCTTCTAATTTTAACCTTGAGATAGCACCGGAGAGGTCAAATGTTAACCCTTCAAGAAACTCCAGAAGGCCTTCTTCTGTCCTATTTTCTATGCCTCAAGAGCAACTAGCAAAATGATGTTTATTTTAATGGTTGAACCCTTTGTACACTCCCCTTCAAGAAGTAATATTTCTCGTAGGCTGTGGTGGTGCATGCCTATAATCCCAGTGACATGGATGTAGAGACAGGGGGATTGCAAATTCAAGGCTGGCCTCAGCAACTTAGCAAGGCCCTGTCTCAAAATAAAACATATAAAAAGGACTAGAGACAGAGCTCAGTGGTGAAGTGCCCCCAGGTTCAACTTCAAATCCCAGTACCAAAAAAGAAAAAAAAATGTTTCTCAGCATTTGCTTCTCAATGGTTATCATTAGTGTCCATGGATTGAACTAGGATCTGTTTTTCTCTTGTGTTCCCCAATGTTCCTCTCCCCAAATCCCTTTCTTTTCAATATTCATGCATTCTCAGTGGGCAAAGACATCAATGCAAATTTAACATTAATCATGTTTGTGTGCTAAGGACACACAGATTTTTCAGTAAAATTAATTGTGGCAAAGCTGAAAATAAAAAAGGAGAATATCTGCTTAAAATGGAGATTTATATTTTAGGAATATATTAAGGTAACTTTCAATTTTTCCCTTAAGTCCTCCCTTTGTGATGACTTTTATATGAAGAAATTTAAGTTCCACGAGCAAGGGTCTACCATGGACACCAGCTCACCAGTACGAGTTGATGATCTTGCAGAAAGCCAGTTCACAGCACATTTTTAGGTTGCTTTGATGGTCTATCAGTTCACTAGATGAACATTTGCTAGGGTCCACTTCACAGTTCTCATCCGATTCATACAAAGCTTTGATGAACTCCCCTATTTGAGGAGAAAAGATGACAGAAAATATAACTATATTTAGTATCTTCCTGAATAGGATAAAAGGATTTAGGATTTCTGTCCTAAAATCTATAATGGGATTTTTTTTTCCTCAGACTTCATATGGGAAGCACAAGACTGCTCACAAAAGTTCACTGTTTTGGAACCTAATAGTTCTCATATCCCACATACCATGTTTATTTTCTTTAACCTGGAAGTAGAATAATAGCAACTACTAACATCATCAATATAGTATTTATAAAAATAGTAACAATATGACTTTAAACAAGGTAGTTATCTTTTACTAGAACCCACAAATAAATTAGCACAAACCTGTAATTTGTTATAAGGCTACCTTTACCAGAGAAACTAATTATCGTAGAAAAACAACCCGAGCCAGATTGAATAGCCCACCTAAGTAAGGTCCTAGGGGCCATGTGGGTGCCAAGTCTAACCCTAACCCTAACTCCAACCCCACAGAGGTAAGTGAGGCTCTCTAGACCTATTTCTTATAATGGGGACAGTCATTTAATCTGGCACAAATTATAGCAGGTCCCTTTTTATATACCCTAATGTTTTTCCACAGAAATTTAGCTTAGAAGCCCTTATACAACCTATCCCATATAAAGCTACACCTAGTATTCTCCAAAAGAACAAATCATTACCTTACCTTTTCATCCTTTACTACATACCATACCTGTATGCTTCTAGTGTTCCAAATTTTATATTGTTTTGTGCTTATTTATTCATTTCTGTCTCATTTCTAGAATGAATAAGCTTGGAGGTTAAGAACAAGCTTCGAATCATGTTCAAATCCCTATCACCTTGAATAGCTCTTGAAGCATTCTAATTTTAACTTTGAGATAGCACTGGAGAGGTCAAATGTTAACCCTGCATGAAACTCCAGAAGGCCTTCTGGAGCTCAATAAACATTTTTTTTGGGGGGGTGTACTGGGGACACTCGACCACTGAGCCACATCCTCAGTCCTTTTTGATATTTTATTTAGGGACAGGGTCTTGCTGAGTTGCTGAAGCTGGCTCTGACCTCACGATCCTCCTGCCTTAGCCTCCCCAGCTGCTGGGATTACAGGCATACACGACAGGGCCTAATTTCAAAAAACATTTATCAGAGATGGCAGGATGTATTCTGGTTTTCTTTAACAGGTCTTTATTAAAGAGTGGAGCTTTCAAGGATCCTTCTATTATTTGAGGTTCAGGTTAGTTATAACACTTCTTAAAGGTGAGCAATAATTCCTACCAAATCAAGTAGCAGTAGCAATAGGAAACATTTTTATATCAAAATTGTTAGTACTAAGGTAAATGAAAGCTTTTAAAAATAGCTATGACAGGATGGGAAATGAAAATTTGGAAGAAACATGCTTAGAGAATAAGAAGCAAACTGATATTCAGAAAAGGTGGTGGTGAGAGACAGAGGTTTAATTTCATTTTGTTACATATGGATTTCCAATTTTCCTAGCTCCATTTGTTGAGGAGGCTATTTTTTCTTCAATGTATGTTTTTGGTGTCTTTTTCTAGTATGAGATAATTGTATTTATGTGGATTTGTCTCTGTGTCTTCTATTTTGTATCACTGATCTACATGTCTATTTTGGTACCAACACCAGGCTATTTTTGTTAGTATTGCTCTGTAGTATAGTTTAGGGTCTGGTATTGAGATGCCTCTTGCTTCACTCTTCTTGTTAAGAATTGCTTTGGCTATTCTGGATATTACCCTGTCCACAAATCAACTCAAAAGTGGATCAAAGACATGAGAATGGAGACCCTATGTCTAATACAAGAAAAAGTAGGCCCAAATCTTCATCATGTTGGCTTAGGACCTGACTTCCTTAACAAGACTCCTAAAGTACAAGAAGTAAAATCAAGATCCCATAAGTGGGATAGATTCAAACTAAAAAGCTTCTTCTCAGCAAAAGAAACAATCAATAAGATGACGAGAGAACCTACAAAATGGAAAAAATCTTTACCACACACACACATCAGATAGGGCGGGCATTAATCTCCAGAATATATAAAGAACTCAATAAATTCAATACCAAAAAACCAAATAACCCAATCAATAAATGGGCTAAGGAACTGAAAAGATACTTTATAGAAGAAGAAATACAATCGATCAAAAAATGTTCATTGGGTTGGGGTTGTGGCTCAATAGTAGAGCGGTTGCCTAGCATGTGTGAGGTACTGGGTTCAATTCTCAGCACCACATAAAAATAAATAAAATAAAGGTCAATCAACAACTAAAAAAAACTTAAAAAATGTTTATCATCTCTAGCAATTAGAGAAATGCAAATCAAAACTAAGATTCCATCTCCATCTAGTCAGAATGGCAATTACCAAAAATACAAGCAATAATAAATGTTGGTGAGGAAGTGGGAAAAAACATACACTCATTCATTGCTGGTGGGACTACAAATTAGTAAACCACTATGGAAAGCACTATGGAGATACCTCAGAAAACTTGGAATGGAACCACCACTTGGCCCAGCTACCTATCCCACTCTTCGGTTTATACCCAAAGGATTTAAAATCAGCATACTAGAGTGATGTAGCCACATCAATATCTATAGCAGTTCAATTCACAATAGCTAAACTATGGAACCAACCTAGATGCCCTTCAACAGATGAATGGATAAAGAAAATGGTACGTATATACAATGGAATACTACTCAGCCTTAAAGAAGAATAAAATTATAGCATTTGCAGGTAAATGGATGAAACTAGAGAATATCATGCTAAGTGAAATAAGCCAATCCCCCAAAACCACAAGCCAAATGTTTTCTCTGACAAGTGGATGCTGATCCATGGTGGGGCAAGGGGATAGGAAAGAAACTTTGGTTTGTGTTGAGGGGTATGAGGGATATGGGGCTGTAGAGATTGGAAGGATGGTAAATGAGACAGACATTTATTACCCTATTTACATGTATGATTACACTACTGGAGTGACTCTGCACCATGTACAGCCAGAGGAATGAGAAGTTGTGCTCCATTTGTGTAAAATATGTCAAAATGAATTCATGTATAACTAATTAGAACAAATAAAAAAAATAAAAAATAAAAGGTGGTAGCACATAGAAAAAGTAAAGGCTTTGCAGCCAGACACATTTGGGATCAAAATCCTGGATCCACTACTTAGACAAGGAAGCCTTGAAAATAATCAGAGCCTAATTAGGTGCTTAGGTTGTTTAAATGTAAGTTTGTGTCCAGAATGTTCTATGACATGTTCTTTATGAAAAGCATTAACTATTACCTAGCACTAACATTTCATGTGTTAGGAATAGGTTAAAAGGTATGGATATAGAAATCTGCTTTTATCAATTTTCACCAGGGTGAAAATTGGACCTTTTGAGGGACTTATTTCATGTGTCTCACAGATGGTATTTCCTGTGTGTCATAGGACACCAACATGAATCACTTCAATCCAGTAGGTAAAGGGGGTTAACAGATGGAAGATTTAAACCTAAATGAGGCAGAGACCATGCAGTAAAGAGTAATGCTTTTATTCAGATAAATGAAGGCAGGCTAAAGAACAGGTTGACTGGCAATATCAATTCTCTCTGAGAATTTTTCAAAGACAGATGCATCTATTTTTTTGTTCAAGGTGTATGAAATATAACAAAACTTTGGGAAGAAGACAATCCAACCCCTGTTTTGAATAGGTTGCCAATTGTTTCTGTTTATGTTCTTAGAAGCAGCAGCCATTTTCAGCAACCTGTTTCTTAGATAACAGGTAAGGTAGCAGAGATCTTGGAGGGGTTACCTGAATTTCTTCCCGTGTTTACTGAACTATTTTCATGCCTCATTGAGTTAATCAGATATTTAATTATTCACTGTCATATCAAAGGACTTGTATCCACAATTCAATTTGGAAATTATTTCACTCAGAAATCCTGTCCCACATTGATTTTTAGAATATGAATATCTGATTTCAAAGGAGGTAGTCAACAAATTTCACCCCTATGTCCTTTGAATGGAGAATATTGTTTGAGGTGTCTCGTTGTTGATTTGTATAAGACAACAGAAATTAAAGTGAACCATGACATATAATTTATGATTGTAATAAGCTCTTTATGTAAATGAGACTAATAATCTTTCAGTACCTTTCCTAATGTCAGTGAAAATCCATCTATTCCTCTCATCAATTACTATTAGACCTTAAACTGCAGTATGCAACTAGAGTTGAAGATAAGTAGGAATGCTCTCTACTGTTATCTAGGACTTAGTGTTTCCCTGGTTTTCTTTCTTTGGCATTCTCTCTCTGATCTTTTGGATTCTTCTTCTTTCTTCTACACCATAAACCCAGAGATCTGTGCACTGTGAGATCTGTCTTTGGCTCATGTGTTTTCCTGCTCTGGTAACCTCATAGATTCATTTTTCCCCTTCACATGGGTAAGTCAGGTCCAAATTTCCAACAGCCAGCTAGGCAGATGTCCTGGCTTGCTTTCTTACCTAAAATCCCTGAGATTTCCTACCAGAACTTCAAATAACAGTTCCTCTCTTCCAAACCAACTATTTCTATAATTTCTGTTAAGAAATCTCATCATACCCCCCCCACATTCTCAAAGGTCCAGAATTCTAGATAACACTTGATCCTTCTTACTTCCTACTTTTCCATGAACTGAAAAAGCTGCCAAGTCCTATCAGTTCAACTTTAACATTTCTCATATCCATCTTTTCTCTATTATTATTTGCAGAGATTGCCTCATTACAACCTCTTTATTTCTTGCCTTGCTTATTACAATGGCTTCTTATAGTTTTTAAAATATTTTTATTTTAGTTGTACACAATACGTTTATTTTGTTTATTTATTTTTATGTGGTGTTGAAGTCTGAACCCAGGGTTTCGCACATGCTAGGCAAGTGCTCTACCGCTGAGCCACAACCCCAGCCCCAGGCTTCTTAACTGATTTCTGCATTCAGTTGCTTTCTTTGTCAATCCATCTTACATTAATTTCATTGAAATTAATCTTACATTAATTAATCTTACATTAATTTCATTGAAATTAATCTTACATTAATTAATCTTACATTAATTTCATTGAAAATAACATACTCAAAACTTTCAGTTGCTTTCTAATGATTCCTACAAAATAAAAATCTTTAATTAGGATCTGAAAATACTGGCTCTAATTATTTTCTAATTGTTTGTTGTTGTTCACTTATCTCTTTCATGTCCTTTTGCCACTTAATGGTTTATTCCGTAATGCCTGATTCTTTCACCTCTTTTTTTTTTTTTTTTTGGTACTGGGGATTGAACCCAGCAGTGCTTTACCACTGAGCTATATCCACATTCCTTTTTTATTTTTTATTTTGAGACAGGGTTTTGCTAAATTGCTGAGGCTGGACTCAAACTTGCAATGCTTCTGCCTCAGTGCCTCAGCTTCCCAGAAGCTGAGATTATTGGCTTGTGTCACTACGTCCAACTCTCTTATCTCTCTTTTTGTTCATGCAGTCCCCTCAACCTCCCATGCTAATCCCTGTCATTGCTCTTGCCCAAAGTATGTTTACAACCTTCCTACCATTCTAGGTATACACACACCATAAGGGAAAGTTTACATTCTGTCAAGTTGAAATTAATTTTAAAAAATTATTTGAGAAAACAGGATTTCTCTTTCTTTGGTTACTGGGAAAACTCTTATTTCGTATATTGTAAGATCCTTAAGAACAAGAATCTCCAGTCACCAACATACCTTTACTAAGTGTAACAGAAATGCGGCACCAGAAATGCGGCTAGTGCAAATTAAAATTTTCAGTAACTATAAACTATTCACTGAATTTCAGAATATGAAGACTATAAGATCCCTCATCAATAATTTCTGCATTGATTAGTTAAGTTATATTTGAATACACTGGGTTATATAAAATATGCTGTTTATTTAACCTGCTTCTCTTTATTCTTTTTATATTAAGACTACTAGAAAATTTAAAATTACTCCAAAAATGAATATATAACATCACTCACATATGGCTCACTTCATGGTTCTATAGGCCAGCAATGGTACACACCACAGAGCCCAGACGGTGCCCTACTTCTAATAGTTAATGACTGAGTTCATGACCAAGTCTGAAATAAGTGAGCAGCCAAGTCAATAAGAGCTAATGATTGGACAAAAATCTGTTATGTTAAAAAAAAATCCACCTGGGTGTGGTGGTGGAACATTTATAATCCCAGTGACTCAAGCTGAGATAGGAGGATCATAAGTTCGAGGCCAAAGTGGACAATTTAGTGAGATCTTGTCTCAAAAAAGAAAACAAAACAAAACAGAGGGTTGGGAGGTAGCTCAGTGTAGGGCACCACTGGGTTCAAGCCCCAGTAGCACAAAAAATAAGCTAACAAGCAACAACAACAGAAAATTCTAGACCTTGAAGTCAGAAATTTGGAACTATAGGCTGGCAAGAGTTTCTTCAGTTTTGATTAGAGGTTTGTTATGCATGATAACAAATGTTAGGCTAACTCTTTTAAGAATTAGGTAATATATTTGTACTATGATTTAAAACTCACCACTTGGGGGAAATAGGCCACCTCTCGTGTAGTAGTAACACCCACTAATATTGCTATATGTAAAAATCAGGAACTTAGCTGCATATACAGAAGGGCTATTTCCACCCATACTGTAATAAACTGTTTTCCTGAAGAGACTTCTCACAGCTGAAACTAAAACCTTAAAACTCTAGTTAGCTAAACTACATAATTTATCTCATGAGGGTGAAATAAGTTAAAACTAAAAGGGAAAGAAAACAGATATTTTCCTTTTCCATACCCAGTGCATCATGAAGATACTGTTGTCCCACTAATTTGAGGTATTCCTCAATGGATTTGGTGGCAATGGTGTTCTCTCTGAAGATCAAAACATCGTGCTCTCCACAACGATCCACCTCAGACATCACCAAGTCGGTCAGAAAATCCTGGAAGAATAATGTTCAATCAGGCAGAAAGTAACTGAATAAATAATATACATTAGAAGAGACTAGCAAAATATCTGACATCCTGGAATGCAGCTCTAAAACTTAAGCTACCAGATTCACTGAAAAGAAAAAAGGCACTCAGGAGAAAAATCTTACGTATCACTACCCCTAAGTTTAGAATTTCTTCAGAGATTTTCCATTGTACTTTTGAAAAAGATCATAATTCTAAATGCAGTCTGTCAGTGTCTATATTTCCTGGTATCTATTTTCCAGCCTCATCTACCAGGAATCTCTACATTCTGTTCCAGCATTAGCATCAGGAGCCTCTTCTCTTCTCTTTCTCTCTCTCTCTCTCTCTCTCTCTCTCTCTTTCTTAAGGTCCTTTCATAACACCAAATCTTTCTAAATATAATGTTCTCTTTTCACCACAAAGCCTTACAAATGCTGTTCTCAGTTCTGCTCCACTCTCACCCCCTTTGTCATAGAGCTAATTCCTGGGATCCTTGGGCCCTTAGTTTACACATCGTTTCCTCAGTGAAGACTTCCCTGACCAACACTGCTCCTACGCTTCCACTAATCAGGTCTCCTTGCTCCACACTCCTATAGTAAGTGCTACGTATCTTTTTGTCCTCTGTACTTCTCATTGCAATCTCACATTTATTTCTGTAATCATATGTTTTCATATGATTCATGTTTTCCTCAGAAAACTGCAAGCCCCATGAGGCCAAGGATAGGGTCTATTTTTGTTCACCACCATATCTCTAGCACCTAACAGTTTGTGACACATAACAAATGTTCAACATATAACGTCAAATTGGCTCACAGTATCAACATGGAATTTCTTGAATTCATCACTTGAACTCACTTTCTAGGCTAACTACCCATATGTCTGCCCAATCACCCATTCACCCACCCATCTACCCATCCATCCATTCATTCATCCATCCATCCATTCAGAAGGGCATGAGAAGAAATAAAGCCCTGAAATAACAGTCTCTTCCTTCCTCAACAGTCTTAAAAGAACTTAATGCAAAATTCAGTGTTTATTATTGTTCAGTTGGAAATGTGATAACATCAAATATATTAAATGTTAATATTTTGAGGATATTTCAAGGGCTCCCAATCAAAAGAGGGAATATGCTGATTTATAAAATTAGACATTTTAAACATTAATGCAATTTATTCTGGAGCAGGTCAACAATATATCAAGAATGGTGAACTTAGGAATCACCTTTAAAATTTATGGTAAGGGGCAAAACGAACTTTAATGATGATGGCAACATTCTGTGTCTTGATTAGGTGGTAGTTTCAATAGGTACATAATCTGTCAAAACTCACAGAACTTCTGCACTTAAAATGGGTGTCATTTATTGTATATAAATTGTATATTATTTGTTTAAAAAAATCTCATGTACATCTTGAACCTTCAGCAACTAAGAAGTAGAAAGAATAGATCCATAAAATTTCTGACTCAAAATTTCAATGACACCTCACCCCAACTCTTAAACGTTTTTTTAACAACAGAAAGATCAACATTTTGAATCAGTAAATTTAACCATAAAAATTATAATCAGCAAGAAGATAATCAGTTAAGAAACTAAATATCTAACATATTGATACATTCTGACTTGTATCAAGAAATTTTAATTGCACTTTATTTTACTGTTTGGTTCTAAATAAATCACTGTAGGAGTGAACATCTATGGATTTAAAATATAATCTTACCATGACCAGTTTGCTTATAATACCTTGGAGACTCAGCCCAATTAAGATTTAAAGGTCAAATAACATAAATGTGACCGATAAGTCAAAGACTCCATTAACTGGTTGTTGTTCTTACAATTAGCATATTTCTTTTTTTTTTTTTTTTGACTTTTACTTTTGTATGGGATAAAATGAGATAAGGCTATTATGAAACAGCCACCAACTGTATAACATCCCTTGGTATTTTTATCCCAAATGAAGATTTTAATCCCATGAGTACTCTTGCTAACACCCAGCATGCTTCTTGAATATCTCCTTTTGTGCTTAAGGGCTATAGACATCCGTTAATCTTAAAATATAGTGGGGAAGAAAACCACTGTATGACACTTTAGAACTAAAGATAAGGAATCTGAACACACTGTGGGATTATCATGTCAATCATACCATTTATTTTACCAGATAATAAAGAGCTGGTTATGGTATCTGTCTTTCATGAAAATGGACTTTTGAATATTTATTGGTTCCTCCATTTTATATTTTAAGTTTTATAAATCCTATATTTTCTGAATCTAAGAACTGCTAACAGGTTCTTTCTTAACTCTTATTTCTCCTTTTCTTTTGTGACCAATAACAATGCACATTTCTCTAATTTGGATCTCCTCAGCATCCATATCTTCATCTCTTTGTAGACGTTAGAGAAAAGCTTTCAGGTATAGGTAATGCAATTTCCCTTTTCCACTTACCTTGGCTCTGCCAGTACTTTGAAGAATGTGCACTAAGGCACAAGCCAACTCCTCTTTATTTCTCACACTAATTACTGGCTCTAGGACAGAACACAGCATGGTATAGTTGCTGGTGACAAATTCTGCAAATTCTTTGTATTGCTCCATAGGCAGAATGGTGATAGTTTGGAAACGTGACTTAATCCGAATAGAAGGTCCCCCAGTCTTTCCTTTGTTGGGTGTAGGTGTACTCACTGGATACCACTTTTCTACAAATTGGCGACCAGTCACGCTGGCAGTGGGGATGTTGACTAGCCCTACATAATTATTCTTGTCCTTTTTTTTCTTTTTTTCCACATCCTTATAAATGTGAACTGTGATGCTATGAAGAGGTGGAAGGCTGTAGAATTCAAAGTGTTCTCCCCAGAAAATATTGTCTGCTTTGGTCTTGCTGGTTGTACGAGCAAAGAGAGTATCATCAAGGCACAGTTCACAGAAATATTTCTTTTTAGGGGCAAGATCCTTGGCTTCAATGATCCATAAACGGAGAACATTTTCAGCTCTTCTGCAGTTGTCCTACAAAGAGGCAACAAAATTGAATTTGTGAGCTGATATCTCAAAAGAACATTTTCCTCTTAAAGTGATGCCGATCATACACTCTATTAAGAGTAGACAACAAATAATGAAATTATTTGCTATCTCATTACTTTAAGATAGTAGCTAGCTCAAACAAGAATGTCTTCGAATCTTAGGGAACCACATATATTCTATTTAACTTGTGATGAAAAAATTATCTTGTAATAGTAAATTCTCATTTAGCCAAACTAGTAGCAACTGGACTTGTTTCTATAAATATAAAAGAGATGTGTAGTTAACAAACTTGTGTTCTAATTCCACTTCTATTATATACTTGCTTCTGACTTGGGCAGGTCACTTAACTTTTCTGAGTGTTCTTATCTACACTGGTAAAATCATAACAATAATATCTGCAGTAAAATTATTTTTAGACTGAAATGTCATAACAGGCACATACACTTAAAAACTGTTAAGCTTTATAAAAATTAAGATGTTATCACTGCAGCTATCTTCTATCAATTTAATGCTTACAAAGTGGGTTTTTTAGACACTCAAAGTCACTATTACCTTATTTGGCTGAACTGTCCTTCGAAGGTTTTCCATCCACTTATCTCTCTCTGAAGCAGAGTTACAACTGAAGCATTTACTTCCACTTAAGTAGGTGACCTTCAACATAAAGATTAGAAATAAGAAAAAGAAAGTAAGACTCTTTTTTTCCTAGTTATATCATTTAAGAGTTAGGGATACATCTGAACCTAAAATACTGCATGAAACTAAAATGATCTTTGCTAGTGGAAGTTCATTATGTCTAAATCTATACCTGCCTTTTGACTTGTTCTCAAGGTAGCATCCACACCTATTTCCAGGTATGGAAACAAAGGCTATTTAGAATTCAGCTGACCTAGGTTCAGAAAATTCAAAATAAAAATCTTTTAGGCCACATCTTAAATTATCTGCAAATGAGTAGTCTCAATTCTGTTAAATAAGTTAATAAAAGGAAGAGAGTTTCACAAAACAGTTTATCAGCTTTCTCAAATCTGCCTTTGCTATAATATTATAGATTGCTACTAAATGAAATTAAAGAGAGTGAATAATATTGTATTACTGTCTTTGGAATCCATTGCTCTTCCATAATTCAACCAGCTAGCTGATTTCCAGTCATTTATTAGGTTAACCTGACCACTACCATAACTATCCTTTAAAAATGAAACATCCTGGGCTGGGGTTGTGGCTCAGAGGTAGAATGCTCACCTCACATGCGTGAGGCACTGGGTTCGACCCTCAGCACCACATAAATATAAAATATTGTGTCTACCTATAACTAAAAAATAAATATTAAAAGAAAAAGGGCTGGGGTTGTGACTCAGTGGTAAAGTGCTTGCCTAGCATGTGTGAGGTACAGGGTTTGATTCTAAGCATCACATATAAATAAATAAATAAAGATAAAGGTCCATTGACAACTAAAAAAAAAATTGAAAAAAAAAAAAGAAGAAATATCCCATCTATTTGCCTACCACCCAACACTGGGCTTAGTATACAGTCTGTTAAATTGAGTTCCATAAATAAGGAAAATTTCAATGATTTTTATTAAAAAGAACATTAATAAATGACCTGCCCAAATTGCTGACGTTTTCTCACACATTAACTCAATCTCAGGTCATAATCATGTAAATCAAATTAGATTATATGTTCTGATATGGCAGGTACTTGCATGGTGTGTCTGAGTACCTGAAATGTGGCTGATCCAAATTGAGCTGTGCTGTAATTATAAAAACTTCTGATTTTGAAGATGTAGTATTAAAAGTAGAATATAAAAATATCTCATTGATAACTTTATATTACATGCTGATATGAGAATATTTGGACTACATAAAATTTAAAATTATATATGTAGCTTACATTATATTTCTTTTGGGCAGTGTTGGTTCATAAGGACAGGAACCAAATATCTTTCAATTTCTACAATATCTAGCATAGGACTCAATTAAATTCTAACCCTAATAATTACTTACACAATCTCTCTCTCTCTTTCACACACACACACACACACACACACACACAATATTCACATTTAACATGCAAATAGTCAACTGTTTAAATTTAGCTGGGGAAGGAGAAATTACTTTATAAAATGTGATAGTCTTATTTTCTGATGAAGGGCAATTTGTTCATTCAAGAAATTAGGCACCTACAATGTGCTAGGGATCAAGCTAGGTGCAGGGGATTATAGAATAAAGACATAGGCCTTGATCTAAAACTGCTTATATTGTAACTAAAAAAAATATTGAGTCAAATTCCCCCCCAAAAAACATTAAAATTGGGACTTTAGGGTTTCAGGAGAAAAATAACAACATAGTAGGTATCATCCTTATGAATACTAAAAAATTTAACATTTTAGTAAGCTATCGTTAGTTCTGTAACCTCTGCTGAGATGTACTAAGCACCCCCTCCCCTTTTCTTTTTGGGTGCTAATCTAGTGCTCTACCATTGAGATAAACCCTCAACCCCCAACTTTTTAAAATGCAGGCAAAGGCCAAAGGAACGAAATGTTAGCATTAAGACCTTTAATTATAAATATAATTTGTTTAATAAATTACCAATTTTCCTTTACAATTAGTTAATTTTTAGCAACAGAAAACCAGTTAAAATCATCAAATCAGAACATGACAGTAATGAAATCATAAAGTTACTGGATAGAAAATCTTACTTTTCATTTTTTGTTTTTTACCTCAAAGCAGAAGTCTTGCCCAAGGATGCTGCTATGAAGTGGTTTTACTGCTACAGGCTCCCCTCGACCAAGATCCAGACATTCTACTGCGCTGCAGGGGCTCAACAAGGATTCATGAGAACGTGACTCTTTCAGTTTAGGCAGCCCACGAGCCCTAAATGTAGAATATATTTCAGGTAGTGTTACCTTGGCCAACAAGGAAATGAGGGTCTAGTGCAATGAAGGCTTATGAAAAATGAACAAGTATGTAAGGACAAAAGTAAAGGAGGAAAAAATTAAAATTCTATGATAATAGTAGTAATCATATTCATGTGGCACACATAACCATACAACCATGTGAACACGGACATACTTTTTTTTTTTCAACAAAGCACAAAAACAATAATTTTACTAGTCTCAAAGGAGCTCAAAGCTCCTCCACAAACATTATTTTTTAACCTCATTCTTATATTGGAAGATGCAGAAATCTATGCTATTCAGGTTATATCTCCTCTTAAAGCACTGACAAAATAGTGGTTGAACCCTCATTTTGTTTCTTTTTACTCTGACAGAATAAATACACACACACACACACACACACACAGTGCCAAACTTTTTAGCATAGGACTCCCTCAAAGGGAGATATCCTGATTTCCACCTCAATGTGGAATTCTTTTCTGGCAAGGTTTTACTTCTATCCATGCTTCACAGTATAAATGTGAATAACACATAAAATGCCTTGAAAAAGGTTCTCACCATGAAAAAATATGCCCAAACTCTTTCATATAGAAGAACAGATCTTTGTTGACATTGTTCAAATGTTCTGGCTGATTTTATTTCCTAGTTGTTTTAAAAAAGAATGTGGGAATCATGCTTCTTGTCACTATAGGAGTTGGTATTACAGACTTTCCTCTTGAAAGAATTAAAGGAGTGAAACAATATGAAGTACAATATTCCTGAATCCAGAACTGAATGGTTATGCAGTTTTACTCAATAATTATAGTATTTATTGACTGAAACACCCAGAATTAAATACATGTATTTCAAGCAGAAGTACTAAGAATAAAAAGAAATGCCTGTGTAAAGACATTTGTTTTTGTAAAGTAAACTAAATAAACTACTTCATTCATTTCTTAAAATAAGCAGGGTAACATTAAATGGAACTGAAACACTAATGCCAGTGTAGTATTTAGTTAAATTACAAAGTTATACGATTCAAGAAACTAGCATTAAAGACTGTTCTTTCTCCATTTCTATTTGTTTCAAACTCTGTGAAATAAGAGACATCTAAAACTACCAGGACTTTATTAGTCCATTCTTTTCTCCCTAACAAAATCAACTGCCATTTAAAGATTAGGCTGAAAAAAATGTGTGTTCTGATATTCAGCAATTTTTAAAGTAAAGAAGTTCACATTATATATCCTACTAAGAAGGCAAGGTAAGCATAAAAGGTACTAATGCCATAATGTATATAAAAATATAATACTGTAATAGTTTCACATTTATTTCTCTTTGTGCTTCTGAGTAAGACATTGACATGTTTGTAGTAATGTGCTGCAAATATAGCACATCAATTATAAATAAATAAATGCTAATTTTTTTTTGCTTTAATTATATCATATAACCTTTCCCTACATGCTACACGAAGCCAGGGTGGGGCAATGGGACACTACTAACATCTTTCTTAAACAAATATAAAACAATTTCAATCCATCTTTCTCAGAAAGAGTTCCTGGAGGGAAAAGCCTCTCATGTTTTAGAGGTGAGCATTTTACCAGGAAAGATTAAGTTATATTGTAAACAGGAGGAGGTATGCCCAAAAGCTAACCTTTACTTTTTAAATTCTCCAGGAAAAGTTTTCTAAAACACAAAGTTATTTCAAACAAAATAAATGTCTACCTACATGAAACAATTGTACAGCCACCTGGTGGTGCAACCCCAAATCATAGCGATGCCACATGTCCAATATAGCAAGTCACTTTCTGAACTACATCTCAGAAAACGATTCTCTGTTTAGAAGACAGAAACCAATAGAAGATGGTTTCCCTGCTGACTTTGGTTACTGATACCATCTTTGGATACATGCTATCCACCAGGTGTTATTCAAGTCTTCAACAGAAGCAGAACAGAAAGGCAAACACTGTACAAGAGGTCATCTTCATCCAAATGCTGCAGGACAAGTAGTATGCCTTCCTCTCTTCCTTCAGGCTGCATCTAGCCCCTTGGGTAACACAAACAAGGTACCTGGGCTCAAGGCTGGGCCTGTTGCCATGGTGCTACACCTATAAGGAGATTAGAGCTGGAAGGCAGCAGGAAGAAGCTTCGGCTTGAAGGACACAGAGAGCATGCTCTGCAAACTTGGCAAAGGTGACTATTTTAAAACAGAAAGGAAGGAATGTTGAAGCCCCTACCCATTTCCATTAACAGTTTTCAGTCAAAGCTGGTAGAGCAGAAACTGAGGCAACTCCGGGGGTAGAGGAGAATCTCATATATTAAAAATTTGATTAGGAACAAATCTAATTAGCTTTAGCTTGCTTCATATATGATTCTTACTCTCTCACTAGTACATATTTCTACATTCTATCTTGCAAGTAAAATCTTTCTCTCACACTTCTGTTTCCTCTAGCTTATTGTTTCTAGTGCTTACCCATGAACTTATCTGGGTTACACATATGTTCTTCTTTCAGAGGAAGGTGGATAAAATTATTTTTTCATTGTGTTTTCAATGAAATCTAACTTCCAATAGCAGCCATAAACATAGTGACTGTCTGGAATTATAACTCAACTCTTCCTAATTACTGAAATTTCAATTATTAATACATAGTTCAGAATCTCCCATTGTTCAGTATGTGCATATATACCCACATGAATCAAAAACCAAATTACTCACATGTTCAACATTACTATTGAATAAATAAGCAAGCCCTTCCTGAATTAGGAAGACAGTGTCAAGACAGAAGTAATTCCCAGTGAAGCAAGATTACAATAAACAGGAAAATGGAGTAGCCTGGGAATGGCTCAGGGTGGTGGTGGGAAGCATTTTCTGTGCAAATATTTTGATATAAAAGCACTGGTAACGCCCAAGTCTTTACTTTTTCTTGTATCTTCATATGAATTGATTTTTCTTTAATCTACCATCTACAGAGTTAGAGCAGCCATGTGGCACCACAGTTTACTCCTCCAATGGAAAATAGAATTTAATGGGAGAATAATGAGTTTAAAACTAATTTTTTTTCCAGTCCATTCTGACATTAGGTTTCATTAAGAAACCTAATCCAGCCTCAAAAGTAGATGTTGTAAGTCCCTCGATCCCTGGCCAGGTTCTTTTTCTGACTGAGTCCCCTAACCCCTGCACCATCAGCCTAAATACCATATAAGAATAATTCAGGGGCTGGGGATGTGGCTCAAGCGGTAGTGCGCTCGCCTGGCATGCATGCGGCCCGGGTTCGATCCTCAGCACCACATACAAACAAAGATGTTAATATTAAAATTCTCTCTCTCTCTCCCTCTCTCCCTCTCTCTTAAAAAAAAAAAGAATAATTCAGGGTTCCAATATGACTATTTCTTGATTTAACTGGAAAATTGCTTCCAAGGGGGCAATTTTACTTCTAACTAAGGAACACCACTTACATTTCTGTTTTAATGTCATCAGCACCATGAAAATAAGGGTTAAATATCTAATTGCTTTGCTGTTGAAGATTACCTGCTACTTCTGACCTATTTAAGAGATAAACTACAGGGCAAAAGAGGCTTTCTGTTACTACTATGTTGCTTTAACCCTCATCCCTATCTGAAATCAGTCTTAAAAAAGCTAAAAGTGAAGGCTGGGGAACCAACACATCCAACAGTAGATACACTAATGAAGGGAAAGAAAAAGGAGTAAAAGAACTCTGATTAGTGCAATTTAAAATAAAACACAGCTGGATTTTTCTCAGCTTACCCATTCAATTTTTTAAAAAGCCACATTCCCTACCACCCTAGCTCCAATGATGCTTGGACTTGCTTGCTCAATCTGCTACATGTTTACAGAATCAGTTCCAAATTTAGGAACTGGGAAACTTTTAATTAAAAATGCTTATTGCCACACAAAATCCTGGACTCAGTGCAGGTGAGTTTCTGCTTGGCTTGGCAGTTATGATTCCAGATGGTTTCACTGAATTCCAGAAGGGACAGTTTAGATAGCAAGGTAGATACAGCAACATACCTATGTTTTAACCAGTTTGTATTCCTAAGGCACTCATTTTGTTTGAAAATTTCCCAGGTAGTAATGAAAAATATTCAGTATCAATAAATTTATACGTAGTCCAATAAGGTTTTAAAAAATTGCACTGAGATCTTATTTGGGAAAAATGTAATTATACCTGCTCTCCAGATCTCATTTTTTCCAATCAGGTATTTTGCAAAAGTAAACACTGTAAAAATTTTCCTCCCTGGACTGGGGTAGAGGAAGTAGGGCTCATTCACAAGAGTTCTATTGTGTACTAAAAAACGCATCTTCCCTGAGGATTTCGATTTATGGTTTATGCACTGCAGGTAAAGCCAGTATAGTGTCCCTGCTGCTCATGTTACTTGCTGATTTTTATGTTAGCTTAAAAATATACACCACATAAAAAACTATTTATGGAAGCACAGTCTATGCTGCAGATCTTCCTCTCCCTGCTCTCAGCCTCCAGACAGGATGGTCTAATGAGCTCAGCTGCTAAGGATAAAGAAAGACATTGGTCAGCCTGAAATTGTCACTTAAAGTGAGCAAATGCATGGTAAGAAAATTTGTCATCACAGAAAAAAATGATATCCCATGTACATGTAATGAAGGTGAATGTAAGGAGAAGGATTATAAATATTAAAACATGTTCTGGGAGTAGAAAATTCTACTTTCCTCCAATATGACCGACACTAGGGAACAAATTCTTTATAGAAACTGCACTATATTATAATATGCTTTTTTTGGCTCTGAAGTTGCAAATGGATTAAGATCTACTAGTACCAATTATATAAATTGAACACAACTATACTGAATTAAAAAAACATGAAATCAAACTTCACTCATAATCCAACTCAATGAACATATTAAAGAGTGAGTGAAAAGACTTAATACTTTTTTCTTTTATTGAATTTAATTGCTAGAGTTTTAACTTCACTATTGCCTTAAGATTAAGGTTTAGGGTGAAAGAT